ATAGGACAAAGCCAGTATATTTTATACAGCAAAGTGTATTTTAAATGCTACAAAAATTCTGACCAGAAAGTCCTTCATGGATGGTACAGTTCAGCTCAGAAGCAAACATAAAGCAGAATCAGATTCTTCAGCTGCTGGGGCCCACAGAAAACTGTAGTATTAGTGGCTTTTCACCTGAACAGTCCTTTAAGCTTCACTGCAGGAGGACAAAGCGAGGCTGGTACTCTTGGTGGTATCTGAGATGTTACTTTGCACTCCTTGTACTGATCATCTGCTTTGGATTTGCACCATGTTTGTAATTCCTCAGGAAAACAAACAACATAACCAACAAAACAAGTAAAAACCCTGCAAAAAAACCCAAACCACCAAACCAAACAACAAAAAACCCGCAAAACCCAACCATCCAAAAAAACCTTTATTGTCCATGAAAACCTATTACCTGACCCAAGCTGAGGTAAACCACTGTTAATGGATTCAGTTAAGGTCACGCTGCATAATGTTCACAGTCTGCAGCTTTGGTTACAAATTGGGAAGGGGGAATTGGACATCTTTCCCCTTTAAATTACATGATCCAGATTCTTTTGAACCGTTCATGTTCCTGTTCACATGTTACCTGTGCACTCTTCAGCTCTCTGTTCTTTTCTATGGCTCCTTGGAATATTCTGCCACCATCTTCTGAGTTATCATCCCTTCCCTTCATCTTGCTTCCTGCAAAATCAACTTTGTCCACCTCTATGCATGGCTTCTTATACCCAAAGAAGTCTGTCATTCCTTTCCAGCTAACTTGCCACATTCTCATCACCATGCTTTCCAAAGAGGTCAGTCTGCAAGCGACTTGCTCTTCTATGAATACACAACAAGAGAAGATATTTGCCAAGATCTCATTTAGCTCTGGGTGCAAAAATGACAGGTGCAACACCATGTTTTGAGACCAACACACACTGTTGTTATGGGTTAATCCTGGGCAGCAGCTCAGGGCCACATGCCCACCCTCCCCCTGTGGGATGGGTCAGAGAATCAGAATGGTAAAAGTGAGAAAACTTCTGGGTTGAGATAAAAACAGTTTAATTTGGAAAGCAAAAGCTGTGTGCACAAGCAAGGCAAAACAATGAAGTCATCCACTACCTCCCATCAACAGACAGGTGTTCAGCTATTCACCCAGAAAAGCAGGGCTCCACCACACAGAGCTGTTACTTCAGAAGACATAGCTCCAAACACCCCTCCCTCTTCCCCTAGCTTTTACTGCTGAGCACAATGTCACACAGCATGACATAGCCCTTTGGTCAGTTGTCCCACCTGTGTCTCCTCCCAGCTTCTTATTAACTTCTTGTGCTAGCAGGACAGTGTGAGAAACAGAAAAGGCAAAAATAGAGTGCAAAGCACTCCCCAGGGGTACCAAAAACACCCCTATGTAACTGTCATGGTTTGACAGTGGCACAATGCCAGTGCCCCCAAGAGAATACTCTCTCCCTGGTTTCTGCTGTGAGATGTGACCAGGAATAAGCAAAGCAGGCTCCCACTTAGGAAAAAAAGAATTTATTAACTAAACTACAAGGGAAGGGAAGGGAAGGGAAGGGAAGGGAAGGGAAGGGAAGGGAAGGGAAGGGAAGGGAAGGGAAGGGAAGGGAAGGGAAGGGAAGGGAAGGGAAGGGAAGGGAAGGGAAGGGAAGGGAAGGGAAGGGAAGGGAAGGGAAGGGAAGGGAAGGGAAGGGAAGGGAAGGGAAAAAAAAACACACAAGGAAAATGAAAACTTCACAAATACATCTCCTCCTCCTCCTCCCCACCAAATTCCCAATACAATACATCCCCCAAATCATCAACTCTCACCACACTTCAGAATACTCAATCCTCAGTTCATCAAGAGGAGAAGGAATCCTTCTTGTGCCAATGGTGACCTCTTTCTTTCATGGGCAGCACTCTCACCACTGAACACGGACCAGAGCTGCTTCTAGGGTCGACTTTTAAGGATGCTTCGTCCCACTCCAAAAAGGCACAGTCTCGACTTTGGGACATCTGTCCCCCACATATTTTTCACCCTCTGGGGCTGAGGGGTACCCACACTGAACCCTCTTGGTCCTGAGGCATTGCCTCCCCCTAGAATGCAGTCCCTGTATCACAAGGAAACATGGCTCTGTCCATGGCTACACAAAAAGAGTCCAGCATAAGCTACTCCATCATCTCTTCCACCTGAGTTCTTCTCTATTTCTCTCGTGGCCCATTTCCTCTTATCTCATCTCTATCTATCTTCTCATTCATCTCCAGGAGGATTAGCATTTGTAAGGTTTCCATCATCCAAGAAAAGGGTTAAAAATCTGAGGCTCTGTCTGTCCAGAACTCCCACGGCTGCCCAGTCGGGCACCTTCTCGCACCCCCCCCTTTCTCCTTCTCAGCCGTCCAAGCACAGGCACAGGCTCTCTCTCTGTCTCTCCTGGAGGGAGGGGGGGGGGTGGCTGCCCGATGCCTCTCAGTGCTCCTTCACCCTTCCATCCTGCAGGGGCCTTCCCCTCCCTTCTGTCCAGGGCCCGGCCTACCTCACCCGGCCGCATGGCTGCCCCTGGGCCTACCTCACCCGGCCCCATGGCTGCCCCTGCCCCGCCCAGCCCGCAGCCGGGCAGGGGAGCTCTGAACCTTTCCCTGACCGGAACCCAAGAGATCCTCCCAGGGGAGAGCCCTGCTTTAACCCCGTGTTCTCAGAGGCAGATCCAATGTCCCAATGGCCACATTAGGTGCCAATATTAAAATCTGAGCATCCATTGGCCTAACCACAGCATCCCAGAAAACATATTTCCTGTCAAACCAACACAGTAACCAACAGCATTCTGATCATAAACTCAAAATATAACCCCATACAAACTTCTATGAAGAAAATTATCCCAGCTAAAACCAGTACAAATGTCAAGAAACCCCCACGGGCCTAGTGGGGGGTAACAGATCAACAGAAGAAAGACTGGACAACAGGGGAATTACTTCCAAGAGTAACCAGGGAGCAGATTAGTGGAGAAAAGGTGGAGGAATTTGGTGGAAAGCATGAAGGTGGGAATTGGTGTCAGAGGATTGCACCACTTGGCAAGAGCTGAGCCACAGGAGAGGCTGATAGGCTGCTCTAGTGATGCTTTTCACCTCTCTTACTTCTGCCTCTACTGTTGCTACTGGTCCTTATTCTTCCATGCTTTCCCTGCTGACTTTCCACACTGCTACAGTCGTGCCTGAAAAGCTTTCAGTGGCTAAAAATATCATCATTCTGCACTTACCTCCCCTCTCCCTACTAGTTCAGCCTTGTCAGTGGCTGAAGTTAGCATCAAAGTAAAACAAGGTTATAGCAACTACTAGATCAGCCCCTGCTACAAAAACTGCCCTTCACCCAAGCTATTGGAATATGCAAAGGACATTTTATCAATGAGCCTCCTAGAAGCATGGCTTTTGGCAAGCCTAGTCTGGTGCAATGGCACAGAAAGTGTTGTGCTTTTCAGATGTTTAGGCATGAACAGGTGAAGAACTTTTCTTGGAGCAGAGGAGGATTTAACTCACTTCCACATATTCTTTCTCTCACAAATTATAGTGTACTTAATTGTGGTTTTATTCTTAATTAGCAAGGTATGGGGGGAAAAAGTGCTTCCAGAACAAAAAGTTCTAGAAAAAGTAATTTTGGACACTGTGTTTTAGTGAGTCACAAGTGAAAAGAATAATTCTGGCTCAGTTATTTACAGAGAAGCTAGAGTGCCAAGGTTCCCCCTCCCCTGCTTCCCATGCTGTAGCTCTTCTGTCAGACACCTCCCATCAGACACTGTGCCAATCTGTCCTGGTCTAGGAATGGCACTTCCCAATTTGTGCCCCCTCAAGACTCTCCAAACCAGACACCACTCTCTTGCTCCATTTTCTCCTCCCCACGCAGTGTTCTGGAGAGAACTGGAGGCACAAAAGGCAAAGATCACAGGCTGAGAGATAAGAACTATTTACTGCAAACAGCAATGAGATCCGAAAACGAAGAGTTAACAGCAACAAACTCCCTGGTAACAGACAATTTTGAAGAATACTTTTAAAACCAAGAGCTTTCAATACAGTGGACAGACAGACAGGCCTGTAGCCTCAATTATGTCAAACATACTCTGGTATCCAAATTAACTCCAGATCACAGCCTGAGTTTCCACACTTTCGTATCTTCTGTTCAGTACATGTGTTGGGACACAAATTATCATATAAACTGCTCCAGGAACTAATTTGACAGTCAGAAATTCCATTGACTAACACTGGCCTGCAGTAACAAGAATGTGTGGTTCTCTGCTGCACTGAGGGCTCATCTATCTCTTCAAAGGAACAATTACAATACTTCCCTTTTAATACCTAAAACCTGCCAGATTCCAACTCATATTTTGTAGTGGGCTATTTTATTTTGAATGCATGAATATCAAAGCCTGAAATACCAGTTTCACTAGCAAAGTTCATTGCCAGGATGCTGTTAAGAAAAACACCCACTGAAAGCAGGTATCAAATTGCTGGATTTTACTTATTTAATAGTTAACTTAATAATCAGGACTTTATTTTAGGTCTTCAACATTCTGTTGCAATCTGCATTTCCAAATACTTAACATTTATGGCCAACACGCTATTAAACATTTTTATGGCTTTCTGTTGAAAAGCAATTGACTGTACAGTCACTCCAATGCAGCTGACCCCTTGTAAAATCCTCCTGGGGTTAAACTTACATGTGAAATCTGCAGCACCATTTTCTCTATCACCCAAAATGTATGAAGTTTTACTTAGAAAAATAAACACACAATAAGTTATATATTGCTTAGTTTTTATTCTGCAATATCACTAGGCTCACTGTTTCAGGAAGACCTGGAATTCTGTTAGTCTCCTTCCTAAGAGACTTCCTAGAAAAACCTTATCATTAGAGCACTACAAAATGAAATGCTACTATATTTATTTGTTAATTTTGAGAGAAAGTATTTACTCAACAATAATATATTCATATAATAATATTATTTATATTAATTTCAGGTTTATTTTTACAAAACAAACTATTACAAACCATTCTTTTTCTACAGATCACCTGAATTAATTTTAAGAAATTGCATTTCAATAGGGAAATGGGATAACACCCACATCTGTGGTAAAGTAAAATTATTTACCAAAAGCAAATTCCAATTTTTGGAAAAATATCCCCAACCTCTAGAAAAACAATGGTCACAGAGTAAGTCCAGGATAACCTAGAAAAATTACCTGCACTTCTGATGCTGCATTAACTGACAGAATATTTAAAAAAAAAAAAAGAATTTTTTTCTTTAAACCTACAATTGAGAAGAGTAGGTTATCTGGAGAAAGTGACCACTATGAAAGACTTGAAAAAGAAAACCATGCATTTCAAATCTGTCAAACATTTGTGTTAGTTTTAAGAACCAAAGTTCACAATCATCAGTTTTTTTGAGGGTTTTCCTCTTTGACAATTTCTGAATTCTTGAAAGCCAGATATTTCAATAAAGATATATAAAATACTTCTGTAGAATTAAGATTCAGTCATGCTGGAAAGGTGACGTTGCCGTCGCTTGAAGCGCTTTATGTTCCATTTGTATGTCTCCAGCATAAAAGGCCCATTGTAGACAAACAGCAGAGTCATCTTGTCATTGTAAGTGAGATTCTGCAGGAGCTGGTGAAAAACACAGAAACAAAAGTCAAAATAGCTAGCTGTTCCCCATTATCTAAAAAAGGTGAATAAGATCTATGAAAAACCTTAGATCTCAAAAATATCACTATACTAGGATTACAACCTGAGAAATGAAGTGTATTTGTTCCTAGAAACCCCCTCAAAGGGACTCATTCTTCAGCCAATTTCCATGCATCAGTATTCTCATTAGAGGAAAGTTTTCATATCTAATCTGTACCTTCTTGCTGCCAGTGACCTCATTGCTTTTTTGCTGTATCCAGAGAATACCTCCACTCCTCTGTGGGCACAGAATAATGTTTTTCCCCAGGGCAGGACAGGCGACAGTAATTGTACCCAAGTAAATCTATGTCTCTCTTTAGCCTTGTGCTTCTCTGAGCTAAGCAATTTCCATTAGTGGAAACTCAGAATGATCAAAATTACTTACAAGTTGCACGGCTACCTTCTGGAGTAAGTCCAGTGCCTGTACTACTTTTCTGAAGTGTAACAGCCAAAGCTGGATACTTATGATAATCCAAACTGTGCCAAACACAAGCCTAGCAGACAAAGATGTCATGCAAACCACAGATTATAAGCAGTGCTCAGGATGAGATTTTACAATTTACCTGCACCTGATGCTCAGCTTGTCACTTCCCTCTCCCCAGTCATTTAGGCATTACACCAGATGCTGTTGTTGATTTTTCTCACTTAAATACAAAATTTTTTGTTTGTCTGTACTGAAATGAATCCTGGTTTTGATAAAATTTACCTAACCTAAGATTATTTAGAATTTCACTTTACAGCGAAAAAAGGATTAACTCCCAACATGGGAGTTATTTGTAAGTTTAATAAACATAATGTTTCACCAGATTTGTATTAAAAATACTAATTTTCAAATCCACTTTTAAGAACATATTCAGTTCATCTACTCACTATGACAGCGAATCACAACTACTCAAAATACAGTATCCCTAATCAACTTTACTGCATATTAATTTATACCACTTCCCTCTGCAGCTTGCTTAAAAATACAACCACAGGAGGTGTCAACACACTGAAAAAAACGGGTTGCAGTTTTTCCTGTATCCACTGGGTACACACATGGAACTTGGCTTGGTTAGACAAACTGTCACACTTTCTGGTAAGTGGTGATATACAGCAGGGGCTCAAGAACTGCCGGTAAGCCATGAACAGTAGAGTCTGGCCTGCTCAGCCCACCCCGTGCAGCCTTTTTAATTATCCTCTGATGCAGCCCACACAAACACTCTCAATCAAGTCAACCTTTACACAACGTGCTCTCTCACTAATTTTTCTTGTGACAGGCCATTGTAACTTGGCATGTCACCTGCTTGTGGAGGAAAGAGGGAAGGAGGCACTTCAGCCACCTCTTCATAACCCTGTCTCTTGTTGCTGAATAATGCTGCAACATGTCCTCAAGTTTCCTCTTACCATGATGTTGACTTTTTATGTTTTTTTAAAGTTTGGAGATTTTTTAAATTATGTTCTCTCATTTTAATTTTGATCTTTCTGGTTACCTCTGCAGACTCAATTTTTCTCTGTCTCTATACTTAGTAATTTGACAACAGACTCCACTTTTACAACAAACTCTGGACCCCAGACAGCAATTTTCTACAACTCCTTAAATTTGGGAAGCATTAGAGTTAGTTGAGCTATCTATCTTTCAACATCCAGATCATGCTGTTCTTTCTCTAAGTAGGAGAGTGCATGGAAAACCTGATTCAATAAGAAGAATCACAAGAAGACAAAAGGGAATAGGTAACACAGAACAATAAAGAAGTAATGTGGTCAGGAAACGACCAAACTTCATGGAGGTAAGCATACTGCAAGATCAGAAGGAACAGCAAGCATTACCTTCCCTCTCCTTCCAGTAAGGTAAATGCTATGAGGGGGCCTTACTCAGACCCTCCAATTGCTACTTACTGTAGACACAGGACATATCAGCCAGATTTTCTAAAATACAGTGTATGAAGAGATACAAGAGTGATATCTTAATGAAAACCAGCACACTTAATGACTGCTTGTCTCCCTGGTTTACAAGTAATATTTACTGTTTCAATTTGTCTTGGATCAAGCTCAACATAACATCAGTCTCTGTTAATGGTGCAGGTGGACAGCCACCTTATTTAACCTTTCAAGACTTGGCACTACATCATGCAGTGAGTCAACTGCCTTTATTTAAATTTTGACTGAGGAGTACAATTAAACTGGTCACTCTCAGAGCATAGATCTCATCTTTTCTGAGCCTCTAAATCTCAGATTAACACAGGAAAATTATTCAAGTAATCATGTGGGACTCCTCTAGTTCTGATGTCAGCAGCACTAGCCTCCTCCTTCCCCAATATCCTCATCTGACTTGTCTGGAAGTTGGCTTCTGCTACAGTCTGAATTTTGTGTTAGCTAGAGGCATTACCTTTTACAGCCTTTTCCATGGTAACCCTGTCCGCTGGTGGCTAACACATGATACTTCCAGTGGGGGCAACAACTCCAGAGCAGGCTTCTGAGATGAGCCTTGGTCTAAGTTGTCTGAATTCTTGCCTGACTGTCCTTAAAATGGACAAATACTCTCTTTAATCCAAATTGCTTAGGTAAAACACAGGTAAGTTATACAGTGTTTACTGGTGTATTATCACACCAAATCCCATTCTCCTACACTTTACACTTCCTATTTCATTTTCTGCCACATACCTTTGGTGTAATGAAGAAGTACTGAGATGTCCTTTCTTTACAAGCAGTTTCCACAACCATTTCAAAAACTCTTCTCTCATTCGCTGGATCCATTCCCTGAAAAAAAAAAAAAAGTCTGTTCTCTCCACTATGTCATAAGCATCTGTACACAGAAAGAGCAATACCACACTATTGATTCTCACCTGATTTATTTCATCAACAACCCTGAAGGGACATCTGTTGAGTTCTTGCAGAGCCATCAGGTATAACACAGTAGAAACAGTTTTCTCACCTCCACTATGATAATACGGAGTCAATTCATGAAGTTCAGTGCTACTGTGGAATTTGACTCTAATGCGAATTCCATACTTCTCATACTCCTCCTGTAAAAGCCAGTACCTTTTAAACTCATTTTCTTTTTATTATAGCTTATTTTACAATGACATGCAAATTACAGGGCATTTATACAAATGTACATGGGTCTATCAACTACTCAGGATCAACTTAAAATCAAGATATTAATTCTGGTTCATCTATATATATTAATCCTGTTTCATTTGTTTTCCTTCATTATTCTTTTCCTTCATGTCTACTTTTGCTACAGAATTTCCAACACCATTCCCTTTTCATGACTATGATTTATTAATTCCGGTTAAGAAAGGTTTTATATGCAGTAAGAACATCAACAAGAAAATAAAAATCTTGGATAGAATAAGAAGAAAGCAATGCCCCTATAAATCCCATCAATTAAAAAAAAAGCCTTAGAATACTATCAGTTTGATCAGTGGAGTAATGGTGTGTGTGTGTGTAGGCTGTGTACCAATCTGAACCTATTCAAGTGCAAGCAGCTCGAAATCCATCAAGCACTGCTGTCCAAATCCAGGACAGCCATTTCCTTTTCATAGTTCAATGGGAAAACCACACACAAGGATTCCAGTGCGGGCTTTTCTTTAACAGGGAAGTGAAACTTGGCAGCAGCCTCAGCCAATGATACAAGGTATCAGTTGTGGCTCAAAAGAAGGACCATAAAATGAAATGCATTCATGCTTAAGATGAAAAAGAAATCTCCAGAGGACTCTCTAGGATTGCTGAAGTTGTGTTCAGTGGCCACTGAGTTCACTTGGTTGGTGAGAGCATGATGCTAACAACACCAAGTTGTGAGCTCAATCCCTGTATGGACCATTTACTTAAGAGCTGGACTTGATGATCCTTTTGAGCCCTTCCAACTGATCTGTTATTCTGTGAGTTGTTCTGATTACAATTTCATGTAAGGAGAAATAAACCCCAGAATCTAAGGTCTCTAAGCCCACTGTAATTTCAGATGCATTGGCAAAAGTAGGTTTGAAAAAGTGAAGATACAGGCTAGCAAACCAAATTATAAAGATTACTGTGAAACACAACCACATTGGCATCAGTCAGACCTTGACAACTGCCACACAGTTGTGTATTTTGAATACCAGTTTGTATAACTGACAGATTTTCCAAAACCTGACAAAAATGATGCTCAAAACTCCTTGTAGTGAATCGAGGAATGTGAGTGTTATCATGGCTAGCAGTACGAATTCTGGCTACTGTGTTACCAAGGGAAGTCAGACTGTTCCCAGAGGAACAGAGGCTTCTGCTAGAACGTTAAGAAAGAACCCAGTGAAGTGTTTCACACAGTATCACAGAGTCGCTTTGGCTGGAAAAGGTCTCTGAGACCAGAGCCCAACCTATGACTGAACACCAAACTGGGAAATAGACCATGGCATTGAGTGCTCTGTCCAGTCATTCCTTAAGCATCTCCAGGGATGGTGACTCCATCACCTCCCTCCTCAGTCCATTCCATGTTTAATCACATTTTCTGTAAAGAAGTTCCTCCTAATGTCCAATTCCTTTTATTATCCAATGGTGACAGCAGGTAGTGTCACCAAGGACATCCACAGACCTCAAGATTCCTATAAGGCAGACTAACAGAGGCTTGAACTTCAGTGTCACAGAAATATCTCTAATAAAAAGTAAGTCAACCTCAAGAGTCTCTCTCTTCTTATCTACAGGAGAGGCAAAAGATTCTTCTGCAGAGAACACCAAGGAGTGCAAACTTGAGAACAGATTATTCACCCTTCTAGACTGTAGCCACTGATCCCTTGAGGAAAGAAGTTTTACTCACTGTCACAGTACTGCTAGCTAATCTCTTAAAACTATTTGTGACATCTTTGCTATAGAAAAGCAAGACCTTCCAAAGAAGAGATTCAGAAAGGCACTCCACACGCCTTTCGCTTTTAAATAGCTTTACTGTTCCTTCTGTGTTCTCTCTTTCAACCTAGTTTTTTGTGTAATATAGATCTGTCGAGGTAACTATCAAAAGACCTGAAAAGTCTATGTTTTAATGTTCTACTTTTTCATATTACTATTCTACAGGTAAACATTTTTATGCAGTTCATATAAAGAGCCTTACAGTCACTCTTCTGCCCTGAGTAATAACTGCCACTGCTATTTTAAGAAAAGCTGCTTGAGTAAATTACAACAAAAAAATAAAAGTCAGAAAAAAATTATGTTAAATTTCACTAGTGTGTAGTCTATGCGTTAACACATGAAAGTCTTGACATCATCATTTCAGTGATCAATTTAAAAGAAACTACCAAATTTCCCTCTCCAGTTCACTGCACTGAATACTTCTCCCCAAGTTCTATTGATGCTTTAAGCTCTTCACCAGAGGTAAAGCCTACCTATAAAAGTTACTGAAAAGGCAACAGGATGGGCCAAATGACAGCTGCTTTCAGAACAGATCAAATGCCCTCAGACTCCAATAGTAACTACATGTAGAAGCAAATCAATTCAACGCCTAATAACAGAATATTTAGATGATAATAAAGGGCAAAAGTTAGCTGAAAAATCAGAATTAAATAATAAGCTTAATAAATCTGAGTAACAGCTAAGTAAATACAGTGTTTCTAACCAAGCTTTGTAAGTTGCAGGCCAATTCTAAAAGTCAGGAGGTGAAGTCCTAGTCATCTGGATAAAGACTCACTTGCCTTCAATCAGACTGTTAAGTCTGTTCTAGTACACTGAAAGTGTTGAGTAAAAGTTCAGTGCTTTAAAAAAAACATCTCCACAGGACAACTTATTCTTTTTCTCTAGCAATATATGATCAAAACATTATGCAAGAAAATATGAATGTTATATGAAAAATCAATCATACCTCATTTTCCATATGAAGATCAACTTCACCAACACACTGCATAGAACTAAAGAACTTACTGAACTTTCCATTAATTTGTTCAATCATCACTTTCAAGAGGTTTATCCATTTTTCTTTGACCTAAAAACAGACATATCCAAGTAAAATCAATTTAAGACCTGAATTTTCCCTTGGAGATAGCATTTACACTGAAAAAACCATTGTAATTAGGGAAGTTAGCATCTCCATTTACACTCAAAACAATCTGAAATGTTACCATTTATTTCTGTACATACATTCTTACAAGAATGTAGAATTATAATAATAATGTAGTAACTTAAACTATTACCTGTGAAATGTTTTGCTTATAGTTATTCAACTCATTTCTCTTTTCCTCTAGATATTCTGTTAACTGCTGTATTTCTTGTGTTTGCTTATTGTATTCTTCAACAACCTGCCAGAACAAAAAACAGTCAGCAAAATATTTGCTAATTGTAACCCTGACTGTAAAAATATCATACTGCATCAATACTGTTCAAACATAATTGCACAGACTACTGCACTGCACACTAAACAAGACAGATTTCTAATTTTAAGCAAGGAAACAGTAAAGCTTTGTTTCTCTCAGATTATTGCAACATCTTTTTTTTTTAAAGAACCTACTTTAAATCTGAGAAGATGCAGAATCTGGCATTTACAGCACATTGTTCATACTGTCTAGCTTATTATACTGAAAGACCTAGCAGAGAGTGGGAAACAAGTACAGTGTGGGTAGAAGGGGAGGGAAAGCAATGAACATACCGAAGGACTGAGGCCTGTGAAACAGGAAGCCCTGGTTTTCTCTTCATTCAGAAAAGCATCAATTTCCTCCAATGTGTTTGGAAGAGTCTGAAAAGCCTACATGGCAAAGGATTGCACATGTTACAAAGCAATACTAATGAATGACTCAAGTTTTCTTAAAAAAAGAAAAAGATTGGATAAACCATAAACTATTTTGTTACTTTTAATCAGGGTGTCAGATACTCAAGATTTAACATAGCAAGATTCCCCCACTATTTTGGACCGAGAAAAAAGGTTGGAAGGTTACATAATTAAGATACATAATTAGATGCTCTTCAGTTGCCTAAATTGTGCAGGCACAGATACTCAGAGATTTATTGTAAGACATGGACTATGCTAGATAAGTCATGCAAATGTATACTCCTGAGAGGCTGGGTTCAGAACTCAGTTCTTTGATGTTTCTCCATTAGAGCAGGAAGGTAGAAAAATATGGCCTCTCTTTATTTCTGTGAACACAAGACTGTGGATTTCAATTGAAATCCAAGGTCTAATTTTCTCTCCCCTGTGCACAAAACAAAGTAGTAGTCAAAGGGTATTTCAGCACTATTGCAAAGGTGGTTTAAAAGGCTAATGACAGTAACAGAAGTACACATAATCCTTTACTAGGAGCCTTCTAATAAAAAAAAAATACATTATTCTTTGCAGGAGAAGTTAAAAATTCAAGATTCAAGAGTGAAATTTTCTTTTTGTACATACAACTTTAAATTCTTCTGGAAAATCTTGATCTGGACCCAATCTGCAGATGTGTTGAGCCTGTTTCATCAGTTCCTTGCACTTCTCATAAAGAAGTTGCTTCCTATTATCCAGTTCATGAAAACGTTGCTGTTAGAAATATCAAAAGATATTTTTAAAAATCACCACTATCTTTTTTTTCTAGTATTATTGTGAATTTCCCAGAGCTAACTCTAGCACACTAGCAATAAAACACATCTGAAGCAGAAAAAGTAGGTGAAACCAGACTATTAAAATATCAAAACAATTTGCTTCAACTAACCAAAACCCATTATACATCTCTGCTCATCAAGTCAACAGATACCAAGGCAAACTGATCAAAAGCAAGTTCTTCAGAAATACCTAAATTTCTTTTCTCTCAGCTTAATAAGTGTGCATGTAGATTCAAGAGTTATCTTCCCAAGTTTTACTGTTGTGTACTTCAGCTAAATATAGGAGCCCTCCAGTGGTGAAAAAATTTCAGTTTTCATTTGAAATCACACAGAGAAATACTTGTTTCACAGTTTTAAAAATAGGACACAGACATTGATAGTCATTCACATTACTTTCTGGAACTGTAACTGATTGTTATCTACTAAATACAACAGAAGTGTAGTAATGGGTATGATCATTAGTGATCATCTCACACAAGTTAGTTACCTGCTCTCAGCAGCTATCAACTCAAGAAAACCTGTTCTTCCCTCCCTCTCCACTAAGCACTACACAAAAGATCTTTGCATTACAGATAAGCATTTCACAATCTCCACAAACAAACTGTAAAAATATTTTTCTATACTGAGTTGGTGCTTTCAGAAAGGTTGGAAAACTTTTAGAAGAGGCCTTTTTTAGACCATCTCTTGTACTTCATGAAGTCCATTGCAGAGGAGGGATGCAAGGACTGGCATTAGAGCTGTACAGATAAAACAGTAAAGGGAGGACGTCCCCAGTTTTCTTTCCAGCCAAGATCTCAAGTTATACGGAATTAGCATAAATGCTATTGTACAGCACAATAGGTACCTTCCACTGGATATCTGCATATGTCCTGTAATAGTTTTTTGGATCCCACAAATTTAAAAGTCAAATGGCTTCATCTGAAATATTTTGACATGATAGTGAAGGCAAAAGATCCTGTGAGAGTCACCCATACTTTTTTTTCTACAAGAAGCATAAATTTTATGTATTTGGTCATTTCCAGAGCCCAAATCAATTCTGAATCAACTGAAGTGAGGAATGTCAATTCTCAATTGTATATAGATCTCCCACTTGAAGGGAGGTCTGCAGAGCTGCATGAAACAAGAGTTCAAGTTGATCTGTAGGCACATAAAATCTGAAACAGATTCAATATTCAACAGATTGAATATGCCTGATCCAAGCTATGGTAAGTAAAATTCTTCAGCGAAAAGGAAAATATATAGTGGCAGGAGAAACTTCAGTATGTGACAGAAAAACTAGAAGGCAAGAGATATTTGATGTTACTATCAAGCATGTACTAGTAAATGCACTGACAATTCAACAAGTCAATTTTCAATTTTCACTCAACTTTGCCAGTTTACTGTCAATGCCCACGTGCAAAATAAAATTTAGACAAATATAAATACACAAGCTTTGATTCCTTATTTCTTCTATATATTAGAAAGTATGTGGCAATGTTAATGTTCCTGTTGGTTTCTTGAGGGGGCCTCAATGGGACTCCACTTGACTCACACACCATTCACTAGGAAGGAGGCAATTTTTAAGAATTATCAGAATGTTACAAATCACAAATCCTGTCTACCGATCTGACCAGACATCTATGTACCAGCCCAAGCTTCTCCCTAAATGATGAAGACGTGTGCAGAGACAACTAGAAACATTACATGAATTTCCCAGTGACAATACATATTACTGACAAGATGTTCATGGCTTTGTTATACAAAGAAGTATTTACACATTTCTTATTACAATAAAAGGATCCAAGATAAGATGACTAAGTGGCACATTTTCACAGCAGCTTAGCTGTCTTAACTGAGGATGGCAAAGCTACTATTCTGCTTTAAATGAAGAGGCTGAAGTCAAATCACAGAAATCAAGGCTAAATATTTAGCAGTACTAAGAGCCACTTCTAAACAAAGACACAGAAGCATCCTTTTCAACAGCATAAAGGCTTCCCAATGAGACATTTTTCATAGCAGATACACCAATATTCATAAATATTGTTACCTGTGCAGCTCTTAGCTGTACAGTTCCTGCTTTGTACTCTGATTGTAGTCTGTTTTTCTTAGCAGTCACCTTGGTCATCTGAAAAGCCAGATCTACTTTGTTGACGTTCAATGGTATGATCCTCTACACACAGGAAAACAAAGCAGGGTTTTTTTCACCAGACTCAAAACCGATATAATCACTACTTTAGAAAATACCCATCCTTTTAGTCATAGCATACAATTTCACACTGTGCTCAAGTCATCAATACTGCTGTCAAATTCAAAGAAAAGTGGTGACCCAAGTTCTCGAAGAGGTACAGTCCACATGCACTTTTAAGTATCTACAGATACATATATAATTTCCACCAAATAGATATAAATACACATATGTAGATACATATACAAGTCTACTTTCAACCCACAATTTTACATCAACGCTCCCTCGCCCCATTCTCTTTCCCTTCTCACTATATACTATCATGTGAAATGTAAGAGCTAAGGCCATCTCAATTGTTATTCAGAGAGAAGCATCCAACAGGTGAATATTGGTGGACATCATATGCCACACAGGGAGGGAAAAGGTCAAAAATAAACACAAAAGACATACACATCTTGTAATGACATTGCAGTTGACTGACAAGTTGCACAGAAACCCTTATATCTGATGTCTTAACTGAAACAGCACATGACAACTAAACAAGGCTGTGTTTGGGCAGCTACGTAACAGACCTTTAATGATCACTAGAATCTGGTTTCATGACATTGACATTAAAATGTTTGGGGTTTTTTCAAACAAGTCAGCCTCAGGAACAGTCCAGAGGCTTCAAAACCATCAACACATTGTTTACTGTCTAAAGGGTAGCTACAAATATAGGCCATTGAAAGCAACTGTTTATCATGTCTTTATGATCAGCACATAAATACAAATTAATCCTCTCCCTTAATGGAAGGGAAGAAGGTTTCTACTGTAGACCTAGGGGATCTACAAGGTAAAATTTTGATGGCGCTAACATCTGACTACAGTGGTGAGCCAAGGTCTGAGATCTTCACTATTTGTCATTTTAACACAAAGTTTCTACAGTATGAAGTTGGGCAGAGGAAAAAGTTTATTCATTTCCAATTCTCTTAAGCAATTTTAAAATAATTAGCAGAAATACAGACTTAAAAAAAGTAGAAGGAGATGAAAAATGGAAAAAGTTAATATTATTCAATAATTAGGAAAGCTAGCTTGAAAACACTGACAGTAACAAATGTTGCATGCTTCCCACTTAAATTACAAGAATTGGACTCTTCACAAAAGCGGAACACATACCAAGTTAAAAATACATACCTTCATGAGATGCATCAGTTCAGTAACAAGTTCTGCTTTCTGTTTATTTATTTCTTTGATTTTTACATTTGCCAGCTGAAATTCCTTCTCTAGGTCAATAGCATCTTGTTCCAGCTGTCTTAAACTATGGGAGGAATCAATATTTGATTCATTGTGATTAAAAATAAATCATACTAAAACCACAAACATTCCTACACTTGATGACAAAACCAACAGTTAGCAAGAATAGGAATTTATAATCATAAACATTCCAAATATATTGGAGGCATTCCCAGCCTATGCACTTTAAACCAAAGAAATACAACAGACAAAACAAGTAGCAGTTAAAGAAACTCCACTTTTGGCTACTAACAGCATCATTGTGCAAGCATAGTCCTTTACTTCTGTAAATTTCAAATCAGAGGAAAAAAAATCACTGTAAGGAATGAACTTTTCTTCTTCTGGTACTTCTTTGTAACAATACAACACAGGTGAGTTCAGGAAGTTTACTTAATTCTTGTTACGTAGTCTAGCCAAAAAATAACTGCATCCTCAGTGAAGAAAAACAGTTTTCACTTGTTTTAGAGCTTCAGAACATGGAAGAGGAACCATGACATTTAGTGAGCTGCAAAGCATTTGGAGATTTTTCAAAACTGCTAAACAGGCCAAGAGGATGATACAGGAAACTAAAAACTGGTCATTCTCACTTTGATCCCTGAGAAAACAGTAAAACAAGTCCCTTCAGGAAGCAATTCTAGGGACATAATGGAGAAGGTGATCATGGAGATTCATCAAGCATTTACAAAGGGCACGCCATACCTCGTGAACCAACTGTAAAACAATGAGGTGACGGAGATCAAGCCATTGCTACTTACGTCAATTACAGCTTTCTGTTAGGGTACGTGATAGAAGCTCATCTCCACACATAAAAGAGACAACAGCAGCTGCCAGAAGTCCAAATAATACCCTGCATCTTGGCTAAACACAGGCCTACCACACGAGCCATGAGTCCATGAAATGCCCATTTCCACAAGCTCAGAGGAGCACAGGGCCATGGGAGCAGATGGGAATGCAAATTCAGGACTCAGAGAAAGGGACATCCTGTCCCAGCACAGTCTCAGTACCAGTGTCCAGGTGTGAAACCAATCAATCTAGTCAACACCAAGGCCTGCTTTGGACTGAGGAGGGTTGCCTTCTTGCACCTCAACTGAATCACCGAATTGGTTGAGTTGGAAAAGACCTTAAGATCATTGAGTCCAGCCACTAACCTAACACTGCCAGATTCTTCACTAAACTATGTCCCTAAGAACCACACCTACAGGTCATGTTACAAACCAAAAAAGTAACTGAAATAAACCAAAAATCCACTCTTCCAGGCAATGATACAGCTCTCATGTAATTTCAGGCTCTGAAATGCAAAAGTAATATCTGAAAATACTATTGTCAAGTAAGTCTACAGGGGTACCACACTGGGCTTCAAGAAAATGAGTGAACACATGCCTGTCTGTGACTCCAACAGCAGTCCCCTACCTTAATTTAAGTGGTGGCACAACCTTTCGTGACAGCTCTCCTGGCAAAGAGACAGTCACACCACCTTTCCAGCTTCCTTCCTCTTTAAGAAACCAGTTATTCTCCACTGACTGCAGTTCACCTGGAAACCCTGTGGTTTTGTGGCTCTTTCACGTGTTAGTGGGCATTTCTGTATGCATTAGCAGTACTGGGAATGCACCAAATATGCTACAGTGTATTTGTGGGATACTCTGAGTGACCCAAATTTGTCACCATGGCTGAGCAGCCTCACTGCTGGCCAAGTCCTGTGAAGGTTCACCAGGGTTACCAATTGCTCACTGAAGCTCATGAACACATGGATATCTTTTTGAAGCAGCAGAGTGTAAAAATTATATAGAGGAGACAAAACGATGTTCCTACTTACGATATAGAAGATATCTAAATAAAAAAGTAATTATATAACAAAACGAGAGGTCTTGTTTCTGACAATTTTGCTGTTATCTCAGTAGAGAGTGCCCTGAATCTTTGTTCCTAAAGGCCAAGTCATCCAGCTTCACTAGTCATCAATTCAGTGTCAAAAGAAACCTCAGTCTGTAGAGGGTAACATTAGTGTCCCTGACTGAAGAGTCCTTCAACCTCTGCAGTCAAAAAGCCGCTATCAGCTGCTGTCACTGAGACTCCTCCCAACCAGCCCAGTCCTCTGCATCTCCTGTAGAACAGCATAGTGCTGGACATTGTGTTATAGAATAGACATCATGGGATCCAGCAGAAAAGCACAGGATTCTTACTATTACATATTTAAGAGTGCAAAAAATGTGAGGAAAGGGAGAAACTAGGTAACTTGGAGAATAACACATACAGGAAAACAGAGGAATGTGAGGATAAGAGGGACACTTAGATGTAAATAGTGGGCTGGTTGCTATCCTTGTCCAGCCATGCCCAGCTGACACATTCTCTTTTTACTCAACTCCATTCCTCCCTCTTTTCTTGCTTTCTACTCAGGCACTCACGTGTTTGGAAGTCTAAGTGCAAGCAATTGTAGTCAAATCACAAGTCAAAGGGGGAAACCTGCTTGTCTGTGATGGCTGCACCTGGCTGGAGACCAGAGCGAGTGTACCATGGGATGATGTGATTGCTGCCAGCACCATGGTACAAGTGTGCAAGAGCGTGTTTGATCCCTAATAAAGACCAAGGCACACTAGACAGCAAGTGGCCCAGGAGCCAAGACAGTAAGTGAGTGACACCGCAGGAAGAAGTGGCTACTGGAGGATCAGCCTGGCTGACACAGACTGCTGCCATGTGTATGTGCTTATGGGTAAGATGACAGCAGTACTGGCTATGGGGTGCAAACCGAGGTAGTCGTGGCTACCTCTGTATCTCTGAGACAAAGACCACAGAATGAGCTACTGGAAACTAGGGAGTCACAGCCAGTTCAGCATGCAGGCACACATGGGCGAGGGAGGCAGTCTCTACAGGCCAACAGAAGCAGGGCTACAGCCTCAGGGGTTTGCATTTTCAGGTACAAGCAGTTCAGGAGACTGAGGTCTAGGGGTACTGACTGCGCAGATTCAGAGTGTCTGGAACCAGCTGCCAATGGGATCCACACTGCCCACAGACATGCACAGACAATGCACCAGGGTAATCTCATGCTGCTCAGACACAGTACAAACATGAGGCAATCACCAGTGCTGCATCTGTCCAGTTGCTCTGTATGACCACTGTGCAGTGTGTAACTATGTACACATAAGCTGTTCAGATGTGTGTGTGTCTAGTGGGAAGTCAGGCTTAGCCCCACTACTGGATTCATGCAGGAGCATCAACCTGCATCAGCTTCATCATCCTCTCAGTCTGCTGGATCCAGACTAATTTCTCTCATTTTTGGAGTGCTGTGTCCCACACCATTCATGCATTTGAATTTCAAGACCACAGTCTGGATTAATCGAAGACTAAATAGGTAAAAAAATGTGGTTCTATGGCGACTCTTGGTTTGTTTTCTCTTGCCCAGAAGTCAGTACCAAGGATTATGTTCTGGATCCTATCCTGTTTAGACTCCTCCCAGTGACATGGAAGAGCAAAGAGAGGGCCCTGCTGTTAGGTTTTTAGATACTGAACTACTGGGAGGGAGCAATAGGCCTGCTGTTCACAGAGGTCTACTGAAGCTGGGGAAGTGGTTGACAGAAGATTTGTGAGATTCAGCAAAGACAAATGCAGAGTCCTGTCCTGCGAAGACAGTGGCTCTGGCAGTAATACAGGCTCATGACAGACTGACTGCACCAAAGCTCTACAAAGAAGAACCTGAAGCACTGCTGGACAATGAGCTGTGCATAAGCAAGCAGTGCCCCCTGGCAGCAAACTAGGCTGTACAAGTAGGAGCACAGGCAAGTTAAGTGATTTTTCCACTCTGTTTAGCACTGCACACAGTTTGGACCACTGTGCCAAACCTCAACAATTTGGTACAAACTCAGAGAGCAATGAAGATGGTCAGGGGCTACAGCAGACACTCTACAGCACAGGATGAGGGCGCTCTATTTGTTCACCATAGACAAGAGACTAATAACATCAGCCCTGTATCTTTCCAAAACAGAAACCACTGACAGGATGGAACAAAGTTGTCTTATGAGGTACACAGTAGAAGAATTGATAGACAGTGTTCCTAGGTTAAAACAAGAAAGCTCCAGACTGGATGTTTATGTTGTCTACACTGCCTACTGAGAGTGTGTGCTTAAATGAAATACCAGTTGAAAAATGCCTTGACTTCACGCCTTATGACAAACGGCAACAGAAAAACCAATTGCAGAGGCCCACAAAAACTAAACATATGTAATGAATGATACTATGGACAAATGGGGCCTTACTCAATCCCTGACATGCTTACTTAGTACCATTTATACACATTATGGCATTACCTAGATATGTGCTACAAAGTTAGAATATTAACCTAATTTATGAGTAAATACATGCAGTGATATTTAACTGGAATCCTATGATATTATTACAGAAATCATCTGGAACATTGCTACATGTTGTCTCAGATACTGTCATAATTTATAAACACCTTCCTTGTCTTGATTATCACCCATATCTAATGCTCAAATACTGGTTACTTTTTAAGGGCAAAAGCATGCTGTATTAAGAGAAAACAAAAATATCTCTGCTTTTAAAATCATAACATAGATATTGTAGATTTTTTCATAGATATCATAGCTTGTTTCCTACCTATCATACTTCACACCAATTTTTGATTCCAACTGCCTCCTCCGGTTTCCTCTCTCTAAAAGCACCTTCTTCTCCTGCCTGAGTTTATTGTCCCTGAGATCCAGAAGTTTCTGTCTCTCGAACAGTGCAGTCAAACGTGCATCCAATGACTTTAACGTATTACTGATGTCCTGAAACAAAAGAACATGCAACACTAGCATCCTTACTGCATGCCATACTAACATATGCAGGCTCTGCTTAATCCATGATAAAACAGCTAAAAGTTCACAACATACACAGCTACAAAAATACATTGGTACCTGTCGTTGGTTTTCCAACTGTCCTCTTTCCTCTGTATCCACTGAACTAGTGAGATACTGTGCCTCCTTCAAGCATATGTTACTAGAGATGGTTTGTTTTGTGTAAGAAGATATTTTAATAACATATCTTTCTTCTGCTGTATAAATTTGCTTCAGATTGGTTTCCCGTATGATCTAAGAAATACAGAAAAATATTAATCTGACAAAAGCATTATTTCAGGACAAGGAACAAGTGATTGATAAACACAGTAAAAAAACTTCACCTTCTGCAGGTCCTACTTATTAACAACCTTTGCAAAAAGATGCTAAATTTAATGCAGCAATACACTTGTAATTCAGACTGGTAAGCAAAGAACTGTTGAGATACTGTTGGAGTATATTACCATAACTAATTAAACAAGTCTGATTGTCAAGATATTACAGACACCAATGAAAAATTGCTAGCATTGGTACTGCATAGTGAACAAGGATTGTATTTGCGTCACGTAACATGTTGCACAAGTATCCTGTGTAACAAAGAAACAAAGTACTAAAGAATTAATAGGTGAAACCATAAGGTGAGCTGTAATGTATTAGTCAAGCAAATGTGTCTGTAGGAAAAAAGAAGGTATAAAAATACCAAAGCTGCTTGTTTTAAAAGCTTCATATCAAAAAGGATACTATAAATAACCAAAGATTTACCATAACTCAAGATAAATAAAGATAAAAAATGTCTACTACACCAGGAACAGCAAAAAGCCTCCACAGGATAAGTTACATTAGACTAAAAATGTTGCTCAGTTTATATATGCAGCATCAGCTATATTCTGTCAATTAGGCTTAGTAAATAATTAGGTTGATTGAATTTGTTAAAATGTCTTGCAATATGTTAGCCCATAATGAAGTGTTCCCACTTCTACAAGGCAAACAAAAAGGATAAATAAAATTGCTAAAGCAATTTTTTGCATTCTCCGTGTTTACTTGCCAAGCAACTTCCAAAATAAAACTCCACACCACAGGTGCATTTATGCTTCTTCAGATACTTTACCCTTTCAATCATGTCTCTGGTCTTCTGTGTTCCCACAGGAACATCATGAACACGGTACTGGCTACAAAGGTAACTCATCACTGGAGAAGGCGCATCAAATAACTCTCGTAAATATGAATAAAATCCATATTGGCTGAAGAAGAGATAAAAAAGTAAGCATCACAAATCAAATTCAGCAGGTAAGCAAGCTGAAGTTACTGAAGGGTCAGAAAGAAGTCCCACCAACCCAGAACTAAACTGGTGATAATTTGATTTGCATAAAAAATTCTAATATATAGCTACAAAACAAACCCACTGCATTTGAAACTATTTCCGAATACAATCAGATACATACTGTAATTCTTCAATAGGTCTTGATGGTAAAATTTCAGCACATGATTCATCAGGTGCACATACAGCATTCACTCTTAGTTTCTGACGATCGCGCACCTATATTAAGATTATATTGGATTATTTGGTAAAGACCAGAAAAATAAACCATGTGCAAATAAAATATTAATTACGGATTCAGAGTCAGAATTATTTTCAACTGATGACCTCTGGAAGAACTTACAAATTCACTCTGGCTCAGAAATAACCAAGTTCTCTAAAAGCAAACTCTATTAACATCCCTGAAAACACTATATGCTAGAGAAAATCAAAGCAATCAAAGAAACCCAGAACCAAGTGCTAAAGAGCCACTCAGTCTAAAGAGCTACTCGTATAAGTGAAGATCAGTTGAGTTGGTTAAAGCAGCCTTGAACTGAGTTCCACAACCACACAAGCAAGATAAGCCCCCAGAACTTCAGGTATCACCACTACTGTTCAGGTATAAAAAAGTGGTTAGTTTCCATGAAGAGTGGATGTGTCTTCAAAAACTGCAGGACAGGCTGTCACTAAATACACGGTTGTGTTGACTGTAGTTGGGAAACATTGTGACAGTTTAATACCGTATTTTCTGCTTTTTTCCTCTTGCATCATCTGCCTGACTTTCAAAAGGAACAATCTTCTCACTGATTCTGGAGACAGTCGAACTATGAAAAAACAAGCTTAATTTGCTGCTTAGACCACTGCATGTCACAAAAGATGCTTCCTGCCTCTTTATTCAAAGGGCAGTGGAAAATTTTGGTACTAAATGGGTAGATTTCTGCTCTACCCATTTTCTTATACACAGCATTTTATACTTAAGTAATTATTGCCTTAAGGAAGGTTGAAAGGAGGAAGACAATCTAAAAAAACCACATCTTCTAATATGCCTACATGCATCCAGTTAGTCTAAGGTTTAAGGAAGCCTTATTTCTGAAGAAAATCTTTGAACACATTATCTACTTGTTATGATATAGGTATTTATCACTATCAAACAGATTTAGTCACTAGACTCCCAAGTTCAGGGTTCCTACTTCAGTACTTAATAAAAGTTTTAAAATTGGTGCCAACTTGCCTCCACCAGAAATGTCTCCATATCTTCTTGACACTCAAAAACGAAAGCCCTCAAGTCATGGGACGAAATGTGATTTTCAATGTATTTTGCATGTCTACTGTCTTTCATATTGATCTAATAAAGAAAGGTAATGAGCAAGTGATTTAATACAATTCAACTTAACATCCTCAAAAAACACTTCAAATAATCAAGATGATATCCACACATATATTTAATGAAAACAAGAACTATGTCTTTAAAAATGTATTTGTTTGCCTTTTTTGCAACCAATTCTCTTGGGAGGAAACCTATGGTAAGTCACAGATCACTGTGCCTAATTTTTAGCCATCCATATCCTTTTTCAGTACTACTGGAGTTATCATCATCTCTCACCATACCACCTCTCCCGCTCCATCCTGACCTTACAACTGAAACCACCCCCATCTTATGTCTAATGGCTCTGCTCCAGCACTAGTAAGGGTTTTTCCATTAGCAACAGAAAACACCACACTCCTTAAGCTGAAGTGCATTTGAATTCCTAAGAAAAAAGCCCCACATACTTAAAATGGATGAAGCTTTCCAAATCTGAATGAAATGTTAATGTTTGTGGTTTTCAGTTGACTTTGACTAGTAATTAAACACTATGTCACTATACATGAAACACAAAGGCAAAATTACAGAGAACTACACAATTTAATAATCTCAAAATAGAGAAAGGCTGGGTACAGTTAACAGCAATTTGAAAGATGGAATTTTTAAATACACCAGACTAATTTACGTGATACCAAAGTGTACTGGTTTTGGCTGAGGTCGGGTTAATTTTCTCCACAGTGGCCAGTATGGGGCTGTGTTTTGGGCCTGTGCTCAACAGAGGGTTCATTATACAGAGATGGTTGTTATTTCCGAGCACAGGTTACATAAAGCCAAGGCCTTTTCTACTCTTTATGCTGCCACAGTGGTAGGGTAGGGATGATGGAGACTGGGAAGAAACAGAGCCAGAACAGGTGACTCAAACTGACCAAAGGGATATTCCAGATCATCATCCTCAGTATATAATGTGAGAGGAAGGAGGTACACTTGGAGTGATGGCTTCCCAAATGTCATAGTTTAGGAATGGTATTCTTCAATTTAGAAGGCCCATTAAAACCATGGCACTGCTTGGTACCCATGTCCCCTCCCTGCCTCCTGCTCCAGCAGGATGGAGTTGAAAACTGGAGGCAAAAAAGGTAAAAATCATGGGTTGACATAAGAATAATTTACTGGAAAGAGCAATAAGATAAGAAAGCAACCAGTAACTGCAGCAATTTTGATAATAAAAGGTGTAAGACTAACAATTTACACCCCCAACAAATGCTGACTGCCCACTGTAACTTCTCCCAACCTGAAAGGCAAAATTACAGCAAGAGTCCCTTTCCCCCACCCACCCTGCAAAGAGGTGCAGTTAAATGGAAAAAATTAGGGTCTGGCCACACCCTCTCAGCCACACATCCTCTCAAACATTAACAAAATTTAACCCTGTCCTTGGCCAAAACCAAGATACCAAGTCACTGTCACACATGATGGAGCCCAGCTCTCCTGGAGATGGCTGAACACCTGCCCGTCCATGGAAATGGTGACTTAATTCCTTGTTTTGCTTTCCTCATGTGCATGGCTTTTGCTTTCCCTATTAAATTTTCTATACCATGAGCTGTCTAAGCTTTTACTCTTCTGATTCTCTACCGAATTCTGAACAGGGGCGGTGAGTGAGCAGCTGCCTGGGGCTTGACTGATGGCCAGGGTTACACCTCAACAGAGAGAAAACAAATCCACACATCAATTGATGTCACAGAGGTTAATGAGGCCATATGTAAAAGTAAAGATATCCTTATTGAAGCATTTATAAAACGATGTGGTCTTTCAGGGAGAATTCAAAGTTCTGATAATAACAAGAAATACTAGGGATTCTATTCTAACCAAAAGTAATTTTGAACAGTCCTAGTACATGTACCAAGTGTAAGAAGTTGTATATAAATATTCTGATATACTAATGTAAATTGTAGCAATATATTAAGTAAGTTTGCAATTCTGAAAAGAAGTGCAACTGGAGATCTTCATCCTCTTCACATTACATGGAGCATACATTGGAAGCATATATTGCACTAAAAAAAGTAACATTCTCTTTGAAAATTTAGCCCTGCTATTTCTAGATCATACCTAAGTTATCAAACCAAACCAAAACACAAAACAAAACCAGCAACTGATTTCTGTGTCTCTAGACAGCTGGGTAGAACAAACAAAAAAGCCACTCAGAGATCACAGAGGGAAGTAACCACAGCTGAGCAGGTTGTGCTCTAAAGGGAGATACTCAATTGGCAACTAACAGTGCTTTTTTAAGCAGCAACTAAGAACTACTTAAGTAATAAGATTGGATAATAACTGCACCACTGCTTCCTCTGTGCTTGCATGTCAGAGGAAGCCTGCAACAGGCATCTTCTTGTGGAGGAAAGGAGCCATCCCACCTTACTCAATTACAACATTGCCTATGGAATTCTAATTATGAATATCCTGCATGTACTTGGCAGTACATTCCAAGATGTGTCTCAAAAGTCTCCCAGTCATTCTTGAAGCCTTGCAAGACATATATAATCTAACCGTTAACAGAGTGGTATGCAAGTAAATCTTCTTACTTCAAGCATCATGGGTTCACAAGCTTTTTTTTTAAACTTGTCTTTGTTGTTTCTTAGCCACATAAGAGCAGAGTGCGTGTCTCGGAATCTCATTTTAAGGTTCTCTTCCTTCATATGCATTATATTATTAAGTTGTCCAAGGCGATCAATTATTCCTGTAATTTAAGGTAGTGTCTTAAACAGAGTCCACAGTAAGTACACATTATAACCAGCATTTTCTGGTATCTAGTGACTACACTCCTCCAAAACTAAGGTTGTTAGTAAATGGTAAGAACTAAGTTTCTCTTTCCAGAATTGAGATGCTGCTACTTCTCAAGAAATCTATAAAACTATGAAAGCTTAAAATAGAATTAAGAACTTATCCAAAGAATAACAAAATATGGTAAGCACAGTAAAAATACAGGAATTTTGCCATGAAAGTATGTTTTTTCAAGACTTGTCCTAACTCTGTACTCAAAAACAAAAACATCCCCAGAGGAAAGAGACAGTAGGACTAGTAATGTGAAATATCTGTTACTTCATGCTAGCAAAAACCAAAATGTGTGACAAGAGACTGTGTATGAAAGCATCTACTATTCAGAAGAGACAGAGATCAGAACCTGAGAATTTTGTGCTACTCAAGATAAAATATAGTGTCTCCTTCCCCAGGTCACCTGGACTCCCTACCTCAGTTTCTTCTTGGATTCTACGATTCTTGGATTGCCAGACAGGTATGTGCAAATGAGCAACATTCACTGAGGAATATGTATACAACACTGTTGTGTTGTGCTGGTTTGTTTGTTCCATTCCCCCTCTATGTTAAAATGGTAGTGCCTTGACTCTCCCTCCCCTCCCAGTTACTGCCTGTCACCCCAGTTGCCATGTCAACCCTTGTATCTCTTTATACTCTGCCCTGGTTTCACTAGCAACTGGATGTATCCTTTGCCCCAGTGCCCTCCAGTCACTCCTCACTACCACCTTTCTTTCCAGAAACTTCAGCTGAGGGCTCGGAGTGATTGGTTCAGGGGCCAGGGCCCCTCCTTTAAGTTGTTTCCATTGGTATTTTCTGTATGTCAGTCTTATGTGCCCCACTCCCCTCTAGATTCCCATTTGCTCCTGTACTGGTTCCACCCCTACCGCCCACACCCTTTATAAATTCATGTAATCCCAGCCCTCGTCCTCTTTGGTTGCTGGCCTCCCTAGGACTCTCAAAAAACCTGGATTTGCCCCGACCAGAGAGCGCCCTCTTCTTTTCCTGTTGTCCGCAGCCACTTTTCGGCCTCGTCCTGAACCTGGCAACGTCCCCTGCTATAAGGCAGGGCAATTGCCTGAAGCGCTGACCCGAAGCACAGCTATCGGGTTAAGTGCCCCCCTGTGCTACTAGCTGTGCTGGCGAGCTAGCTGGGACGCATCTCTCTGGCCAGACAGCGGCAGATCCTGGCATCCAACATGGGGCCCTGAAGGCTTTCTAATCCAGGTCTTCATTGACCTGAGCACTTCACCGGACCCCATGGACAAGGCTGCAAAGCCTCTCTGGCCGCGGATCCAACCCCCGGTTGAGCAGACCCCGTTGTAGTGGATGGTGCTCTCAGGGGATTGGGAACGGCAGCTCTTGGCACCCCAGGAGTCGTTCCCCCAACAGGACCACTGCTCTGGATCTTCTTTTCGCCCCTACATGATTTAATATAAGTATTCCTTTTTTCTCTTCCCCTGTCTTTTTAATGGATTTTTCCCTCAGTGCCGTAAGTGGCTCGAGGTGACTTCTTTCCTTTTTTGCTGCGCAGCCCCCTCTTTTGACAGGGGCCGGTGTGGGGCTCTTCTTGTTTTATTTAAGGTTTGCCAGAGCAGTGGGTGGTTTGAGTTGCCTCTTTTACATCAACAGCCATGGGTGCTTGGCAATTGGCAGCTCAAAAGAGGGCTTCTGCCCAAGTTGTGGGTATCCATGGAGGGGGGGGGGATTTTGTCATCCCTAAGGTGGTTGTTCTCCCAATTTCCGAAGGTTTCGCCGGATCAAATTTGCAACCCTGATTTTTGGGGAATTGTTTCCTCCAAATTACAAAATTCCATAAAATCAGGGGATTCCTCCTTGGCGAAGATCTCGTATTGGCCCCTTCAAATTAGAGCTTTACTAAAATCCGGACTGAAATTGGGGAAACAATTCTCAGTTTCCAATTTGTTCCATGGTTCCACCTCTACCCCTGTTCCTAGCCCTTGTCCCTCCCCTGCTTGCCCAGAAGTCGGGATTGAGAGGAGCAGCTCGCCCAGCACAGCGCAGGGTGTCCACCCTTACCCTGGCTCCCCTCAGAGTCCCAAATCCCCCCGGCCCTAGGAGACCTAGCCAGACTCTTAGGGGATCCTCTCTTTCCCCCTCTCTCGCAGTTCGTAAGACCCCAGTTAAGAGACCCTCCGTTCAGTTTCGCCTCCCTCCACAAGATGGCTCCCATGGAGCCCAAGATGGAGGGAGCCGCATAGTTTCTCCTGCACTTTTCTCATGTTCTCCCCACAATCCTTTTTGGCCCCGGAAAAACCCCTTCCTTTCCGCTGACTCCTCCCTGTTTCCCCCCGCTCCTCCTCCCTTGGTAACTCTTCCCAGTTCTCCTCCCTCTTTCCAAACCACACCTCCTGCCGCCTCCCCATGGGCAGGACCCTTGTCAACTGATGTCCCCACCCAGTCCTCCAGCCACTCCCCTCTCCTCTCACCTCCGGTTCCTATGCTCCCACTTCTGGTTCCCATGCTCTGGTGTCCGGGGGCGGGTAGGGACCAGAGATCCAGAGCCAGTTTCTATCCCTACCATGGCTCCGGTCACCTACTACCCTGAGAGGGAGGGGAGAACACAAGCCCAATGGACCCCTTTTCCCCACCATCAAATAAAGGAGTTATGCAAAGCCCAGAAGGATTTCTCCCAGGAGAGTGAATACTTCTGGGGGATCCTGAGGGCGACACTGGCTCAGTTGGAGGTTACCCCCTCTGACCTGCAATCCCTTTTTTCATGCCTGCTTAACCCCACTGAGTTTGCATTATGGGAAGCAGCCTGGAAAAAGGAAGTGGTGGAGATCCTCCCATCCCTGTGGAATAACCCCTGTACTGGGCATAATTTAGATGGTTGGGTTATTTCCACTGTGAGATGGGGAATTGGGCCGATGGGCACTCTCAGGCCAGGGCCATCCCTGCTGAAGTGCTGAGGGAGAGTAGTACAGCGGCTGAGAGAGCCTTTTTAAAATTGCCATCAGCGGTGTCTCAGGTTTCCTATTCTAAAGTTACTCAGCGCGCAGACGAACCTTTTATCACCTTTGTTGAACGGCTGCACAAAGCTATTGAGTTGCAGGTACAAGGCGAGGGAAACAGGATGGAACTCCTCAAGGAAATGGCCTTGACAAACGCCAACTCTGCCTGCAGGGATGCCATCCTTACCCTGCCCCTGGACCCTTCCCCTACCCTGCAACAAATGCTCGAGGTCTGCACGCGCAGGGTCTCCTTAACGTCAGGAGACCCTGACCACAGGGCTCGACCCCCACCTCGAAGAGTTGCCACTGTAGACACCATGGACGTCTTGTCTGCAGACTCTGGTGCTCCTCCAAACAACCATCCACCACGGCCTGACACCCCTGGACCATCCCAGAGGACGACTTCCCCTTGTCATCTGTGTGGGAAGTTAGGGCACTGGATGCCCAACTGCCCCTTAAGGAGGCAATTCCATGAATTTAAAAAAGAGCAAGGGCTTCAGGGGAAACCCCTGCAAAAAAACTAAGGTGTGAGCGCAGTCCCCCCCTGCGCAAAGACATAAATAAGGTGGGTTTGTTACCATCTCGCAGGGAGGGGAAAGAGGGAGAATCACCTGCTGCCACAACCAGATGGGACTTTCAAATACCGGACTTGTCTTTTTTACTTTGTCTCCAACCTGTGCCAGTTTTAACCAGTCTTTCTAAAAATGAACCTTACAGGCTGCAGCTGACGAAGTCACTCCACCTCCAGGACTCTGATTTCCATCAGTGACCATGTGCCTGGAGTGCCCAGGTAACTGGGGACAGATCAGCTGTAAGTATGTGGTTATCGGAGACACAAAGTTTACACCATTGAGTTGAACATTGTCCCGGGTCTCTTGACATCCAACCCAGGGCAATTTTCAATGGGGCTGTACTGTGTCCGTCCTCCCCTCTTCCTGCCCAAAGGACAGATCATTGCTCAGGCTATTCCTGTGCCTGAGCTGACCTGGGTCCCAGGACTACCTGCTTCATCACTGCAAGACAGTCACCCTTCGGTAGCCTGGGCACAGGTCCTGGGGCAGGAGAAACCCTGAATAACATGTCAGCTTTCGAAGGGGGGAGACCACAAGCCTCTTAGAGTCCTTTTGGACACAGGGGCAGATGTGACGATCATTCCTTCCAGGGAATGGCCGTTGTGTTGGGAATTGCAAGATGTGGCTGGACACATTCATGGTGTTGGGGGTTTACAATTGGCAAAACAGTCTAAGAGCACCGTACAAATAAAGGGGCCAGATGGGCAATTGGCATCTATACACCCATGCATTTTAGATTACACGGAACCCCTGTGGGGGAGGGACGTCCTTGCCCAATGGGGAGCCCGAATTGACCTTCCAGTGGCTCCTCAGGTTTTTCGGGCTGCAGTCACTGAGGGGCGCCCTACCTGGAAACTGAAGTGGAAATCTGATGAACCAGTACAGGTAGTGCAGTGGCCGCTCAATAAACAAAAATTGAAGGCACTCAATGAGCTCGTCAAGGAGCAGTTACTTAAGGGCAACCTGGTGGAGACCATGTCTGAGTGGAACACCCCAGCGTTTGTCATCAAAAAACCAAAAAAAGATTAGTGGCAGCTCTTTCACAACCTCCGCAAAATTAATTGAAGATATGGGCCCCCTCCAACCAGGGATGCCGTCCCCGGCGATGCTCCCCCAAAACTGGAATTTGGCCATGATAGATATCAAAGATTGTTTTTTCCAAATTCCCCTTCACCCGGATGATGCCTCACGTTTCGCCTTCATGGTTCCCTCCATCAACCGTGGAGCCCCAAGCAAGCGCTACCATTGGTGTGTTCTTCCACAGGGAATGAAGAACAGCCCTGTCATTTGCCAATGGTATGTCGCTTCCTTGCTGTCCCTGATACATACAGCTGCTGAGGATGCCATCATTTATCATTACAGGGATGACATCCTTGTTTGTGCTCCAACTGAAGACATACTGGCCCATGTGCTTGACTTGACAATCAATGCATTGGCTGCTGCAGGGTTTGAGCTCCAGCAGGACAAGATTCAAAGGATGTCACCCTGGAAGTACCCGGGCCTGGAAATAACAAGGAGGACCATTGTTCCCCAAAAATTGGCGATCAAAACCAACATCAAGACCTTGGCAGATGATGTCTATCAGCTGTGTGAGTCTTTGAATTGGGTAACGCCTTGGCTAGGAATTCCAACTGATGACCTAGCCCCTGTTTTCAATTTATTGAAAGGGGGAAAGGAGCTTAGTTCTCCTAGGTCACTTACTCCAGAGGCTCAGGCAGCACTGGAGAAAATCCAACAGTCCATTTCGGCCAGGCAGGCCCACAGATACCAACAAGGCCTGCCGTTCAAATTTGTCATATTAGGAAAGTTGCCACACCTCCATGGGGTGATTTTCCTATGGGATGAAAACATCAAGGGGAAGGACTGGGGCTCGGGGGACCCTCTCTTGGTTATAGAGTGGATTTTCCTCAGCCATCATAGGTCCAAAAGGATGACACAGCCATCAGAGCTGAACATCAGGCAGAACTGATCAGAAAAGCGAGATCGTGGATCAGGGAGTTGGCTGGTTGTGACTTTGACTGTATTCACATTCCCATCAAATTGGAATCGGGCCAGTTCAAAAAGAAAACTTTTGAAGAACTGCTTGAGATTAATGAAATGCTTCAATTTGCTCCGGATAGCCACACGGGCCAAATTGCTGTCGATCGGCTGGCCCATAAATTATTTACCAAGACGTTCAATTCTCTCCATCAATAAAGGGGATTCAGAGCAGAACTCCCTTGAAAGCGTTGACTGTTTTTACTGACGTGTCTGGAGCATCCCACAAATCAGTGATGACTTGGAAGGATCCTCAAACTCAGTGGTGGGAGGCTGATGTCGCTAAGGTGGAGGGTTCTCCACAGGTAGCTGAGCTCGACGCAGTCGTCAGGGCTTTTGAGAGGTTGTCTGAACCCTTCAATTTGGTTACAGATTTGGTTTATGTTGCAGGTGTAGTGTCCAGAGCCGAAAATGCAGTTCTTCAAGAAGTGTCTAATATTCCTTTGTTTAACTTGCTCTCCAAATTGGTTGTATTAGTCTCCCGCTGAGAGCAGCCTTTCTTTGTGATGCACATCAGGTCACACACCGACTTGCCGGGGTTCATTGCGGAGGGCAATCGAAGACCAGATGCCCTTGCCGCCCCTGTTCAGATGGCCCCGCTCCTTGACCTGTTCAGTCAAGCTAAAATCAGCCACCAGCAATTCCATCAGAATGCCCCTGGCCTTGTTCGGCAGTTCCAACTTACTCGAGAACAGGCCAAGGCGATTGTGGCTACATGTCCCCAATGTCAGTCCCATCAGCTCCCATCATTCAGCTCTGGAGCTAACCCCCGAGGCCTTTCTAGTTGCAAGGTGTGGCAAATGGACGTAACACATGTCCCCTCTTTAGGCTGGCTGAGTTACATACATGTCTCAGTGGACACTTTCTCCGGTGCCATCTATGCCTCTGCCCACACAGGTGAGAGGGCAGTTGATACCGAAAAACATCTCGTGCAGGCCTTCGCTGTCCTGGGCATCCCCAAGGTCATCAAAACTGACAATGGCCCAGTGTATAAGTCCAGGGAACTGAGGAGCTTCCTGCAGCAATGGGGAATAGAACATAAGACTGGCATCCCCTATTCCCCGACAGGCCAAGCTGTGGTGGAGAGGACCCACCAGAGCCTGAAGAGGGTTCTTGAGCAACAACATACAGCCATGAAGGTGGAGTCCCCCCATGTCCGTCTCGCCAAAGTTCTTTTTACCATCAACTTTTTAAACTGTTCCTTTGAGAATTTGAACCCTCCTATTGTGCGACACTTCGGGCAACATAAACAGCTGCAGCCGAAGGCCAGGCCTCCGGTCCTAGTTAAGGACCCAGAGACCTGGAAAACGGAAGGGCCATTTGACCTGGTCACCTGGAGGAGGGGGTACGCTTGCGTGTCCACTCCCTTGGGTCTCAAGTGGGTACCATCCAAGTGGGTCTGGCCCTTCCTCCCAAAGAAGGCACTTAAGGTTGGAGCAGTGGCGCAGGTTGAGAAGGCCTGCTGGCGAAGGAGGCGGAAATGCTTCTCCCTTGATTTCGACCTCCTTTAATCTTCCCTCAGGGCAGAACTCAAATTTTCCAGTCAGTCTTTTAATTATTCTCTTATCGTTTTAGTGACCCTCACCCGGATGGCCCATTTCCCCACCAACATCATCCTGCTGGCAACAGCACTCAGGTCCTTCGTTCCACCCTTGGACCCCTGGATCGTCCCCCAGCCGAAAACTAACGTCTGGCGGACTCTTGCCAAAGCCCTTGGCCAGGATCATATATGCCTAGACACCGGTTCAGCAGAGGACCCGATGTCGTCGTGCCTTGTGGGGATCCCTCTCCCTTCCCAGTGACTTTTCCTCTCCTCTGGCCACCTCATGCACTTCCCTGGTCTCTAAACAGATCTCCTCTCTGTTACACTTTGACCCCAGGGTGGGCCTGGAGGAATGGAATCAAAGGGCTGGTCCCTTTAAATTCGGAACCCCTCGAATTTGAGTTGCTTGGCTCCGCCAACGCCTCTTTTTGTTTTCAGTTTCTTCTGCCCTTCACCCCAGTTCCGTTCGGCAGTCTAAAAACTAATAAAGTGCCGAGAAATGCTGTGGAAGTGCCATCAAAATCCATGCACCGTCCGCCCCTGGAAGCAAGCCCCTGGCTCTACACCATGGTGTGTTTTTAATTTGCGGAGACCGAGCTTGGGCAGGCATCCCCTCTCACTTTATCGGAGGTCCCTGCACAATCGGGAGGCTGTCGCTGTTAACACCCAACATGACCCAAATCAGAGATTGGAAATTGAAAAATGTCACACAAAATTCGGCCCGTTCCAAAAGAGATCTTAAAGATCTTGACCCAGAGTGTGACTCTGAAATGAATCATTGGCCAAAGCCAAAAATGGTTGCAGTTACATTGTTTTTGCCCTGGGTATCTGCAGCCAAGTCTCTAGGTGAATTGGCCTGCCTAGAGTGTTGGGTTGTTAAGCAAGGCAATCTTACATCAGTCACTCTATTGGACCTCCTATCAGACGAGGAAATAACAAGGAAGGCAACTCTTCAAAACAGAGCAGCAATTGACTTTCTGCTCCTCCTACATATCATCGTTGTGAAGAATTCGAGGGCCTCTGCTGTTTGAATTTATCATCCAAGGCCGAAGACGTGAGGACAGCAAAATGCAAGATCTGGTTCACAATATCAAGAAAGAGATGTCAGACTGGCTGGGGGACATCTTTTCAGGATGGGGCCTTTCGGGTTGGGTGGGGTCAAATTTGAAAACTGTCCTTTGGATCCTCTTTATTTTGATTGTAGCTTTAGCTGAATGTTCTATCGTTTGGAATTTAATCAAGAAACTGCTAGGTAGGATCGTTCCTACCCCGGACATCAACCAGGTCATGGCTCCTGAAGGACAGTCAGAGGAAGCAGAAACCCCTAAAGAAGATCAATGGGACCCTGCCCCTCTGAGCCATCCCTGGTTGGGAGATCCTTACTTGGATGCCGAGTATTATAACCAAGTTCAATTCACCTCTGTTTAAGCAATCAATTATTTTTCTTTTTCTTTTTTTAAACAAAAAAGGGGGAGATGTTGTGTTGTGTTGGTTTGTTCCATTCCCCCTCTATGTTAAAATGGTTCTGCCCTGGCTCTCCCTCCCCTCCCAGTTACTGCCTGTCACCCCAGTTGCCACGTCAACCCTTGTATCTCTTTATACTCTGCCCTGGTTTCACTAGCAACTGGATGTATCCTTTGCCCCAGTGCCCTCCAGTCACTCCTCACTACCACCTTTCTTTCCAGAAACTTCAGCTGAGGGCTCGGAGTGATTGGTTCAGGGGCCAGGGCCCCTCCTTTAAGTTGTTTCCATTGGTATTTTCTGTATGTCAGTCTTATGTGTCCCACTCCCCTCTAGATTCCCATTTGCTCCTGTACTGGTTCCACCCCTACCACCCACACCCTTTATAAATTCATGTAATCCCAGCCCTCGTCCTCTTTGGTTGCTGGCCTCCCTAGGACTCTCAAAAAACCTGGATTTGCCCTGACCGGAGAGCGCCCTCTTCTTTTCCTGTTGTCCGCAGCCACTTTTCGGCCTCGTCCTGAACCTGGCAACGTCCCCTGCTATAAGGCAGGGCAATTGCCTGAAGCGCTGACCAGAAGCGCAGCTATCGGGTTAAGTGCCCCCCTGTGCTACTAGCTGTGCTGGCGAGCTAGCTGGGACGCATCTCTCTGGCCAGAGAGCTGCACAACGCCCTCACTAGCTGTCAATCTTCAGTTTTTAAATTTAATTTCATTATTAGAAAGGACTAATTGCAAATCCCAGACTAATGTAAAGAAACTCTGGAATTAAGGTTACCTAAAGTTCATCTAAGAAGGACAATTGCAGCATCAGCAGCTAATATACTACATATAATATATGAAGTAGCTAAAATACTGTCTCTTCAAAGCAAACTGCTTTCTCCGTCAGGTTTGGGCTTGCTTTTCGTAACCTGCTAACTACAGACCTTCCTTTTTAACAAAAAAATCCCCCAAACCTCCAAACTGCCAAAGGACTCTCCTTCCAGATATCAGAAATGCTGATTCCTTGAAGGATAGTTTTAAGGTCAAATTTTAATTTTGCATCTTCTTGTTCAATTTTGAAAGTGGTTGTTTTTTTTAATACAGCTGTTAACAAAAGAGAGGACTGCTATACATGTAGGCCAACTACAAATAGTAGTTGAAGTAAACACCTTGAATTATTTCATTACAGCAGGACAAGGAGATTCTGTACAAGCAGATGCATTAAAATAATAAAATAAATTGACAAAGAAAAACCTTAAGTAACTTACTTTTCTCTTCCCGCTCTTGGTTGTTTTTTTCTGCTCTTAGATCACTAACATCATTATCAATATTTGCCTTCTCTTCTTGTAATTTTTTCAGCTCAGTATTAACAGCATCGATTTGTGGCTGAAGATTCTCACAGATTGCCATTGTATCCAGCTCATTCTGCCACTCCTCTATTATTTGTTGAGTTTGGTGTATTTTCTTCTGCCTGTTTGTTTCTTCATCTTTTTTCATTCTGAATGCTTGATTAATTTCTTCAATCTAAAAATTTGGAGTATTTCAAACAAGAAATGAGTTTGGTATACAGAACCTACAACAAATACCTAGGATATCTGTGCAACTGCTATTAAATGCTGACATAACCATGCACCCAAACCCCAAGAGTCTGTTACAGTTCCAACAGCACTATGACACAGTTCCAATAGCACTATGGCAGTTGAAGAACATAAGCAAAAATACAATCAAGCCTATAAACCAATTTTTGAAGTTCCTTCATTTTCACAAAAGCAGAACCTTAAAGGTTAATAAACTGACTAACCATTGCTTAATACATCTGAAGTTTAGTCTATGATTAAGTAAAATCTATAGCCCAAACACAACTTGGAAGTTTTGACTTTGCATCCTTATACATTTCATTTACTATACATTTCTTGACCAAGTGCATAGATGAGACTGTTTCACAGCCTTGCAAGGATGTTTCTTTTACAAGATGCAATATGTATATCCTTAGAAGCAGCAACCAACAGCCTCTACAGTGTGAGTAACCCCTCACACTATAGAGGCTGTAGCTTTTCAAGGAAAGTCTATCACAAACGGCATGTGTGCATATGTCTGTCAATCAATATATACACACACACTGTCTATTTTAGTAGGCAACATAATTTATGCAGTATACACCTCTCTCTTAGTAATTCCTGTTTGACTGATAGAGTTGTAAAGATGCATTGTGTACCAGAGGGAGTGAAGAGTACAAGGACTTGCAGCATATTCATTGAAATTTGCCACTCTGCTAACAGAAGAGCAGACAAAAAACCCAAAAACACACACCAAGAAAAGTCAGCAAGGGTCTTACCTGTTTATCTTTCATCTCCAAAGCATCTTGTTTCTCTTTACATTTCTGGGAAATATTTCTGATTTCAGCAGTCTGCATATAGCAAGATATTTAAATTTACAGTCATAAATTCAGTTATATTTGTAAAAAGCAGTCAGATTTTGAATAACATCTTGTATATGCACAACTAAGTATTTACTCCCCATTTTACTACTGACAAAGCCATCCTTTCCCATTTCTTATTTTTAACTGTATCTGTAGCAGCAATTTGTCAAGACTTGCATAACAGCATTCATACTGTACTGTTCACAACCATTCCGCTATAGGTCTGCAAATTTTGGCATGACATAGAGGAAGCGCCTAATCTGAAATTGAAATACATCCATCCTTGATTTCAATACAAATGTTACATTCAGATGCCTACAACTATAAAATGTTCTTGCCTCTTTCTCCAAACCAATTTTGCAAAGAAAGGTGATCCTAAAGAGCGAGCAAGGCTTAAGCTCCTAGGCACAGGATGGCCAAACCAGGTTTTGTCCAAGTCATCCTACCCCTGAACTGCATTGTGCTAGAGCTAGATCCTACACAACTGAGCTTGACAAATTGTTGGCTCATGTGTAGGCATGCATGTCTCTGCTCTTCCTCTATCCTCAGCTTCTATAAAGCAGAAGAACAATATAGGTTGGAAGGAATTTCTTGGCATTACCCAGTCCTATCCCTTCTCAGAGCATGGTTTTATTAGGTCAAGTTGCCCAGGCACTCACACAGCTGAGTTCTGAACACAGGGGAAATACACTATCTTTTCTCTGAAAACTGCATTCCTCCTTCCCTAAACCCTCAAGGCTGAAGCACTGTGAAGAGAATACTGGAACACTGCAGAAGGATGGAAAGATTGTAAGTAAATTCCAGTGCATACATGGAAACCAACACAGCACTCCCAGCAGAAGAAATGTCTTCCTACAAAAAGTCATACTGAAAACAATAAGATGCATCAAAAAAAGGAGAAAATAAAACTATGCAGAATTTTTTCTCTACCCCAACCTAAAAAAGCCCCCAAATTTTAAGAGTCATGCAGACAGTTTGCATAAAGCCAACACAGAAGAAATACATCTGGGTCTTGCAGTTAACTGCTATGAAGTAATGATTCTGTGATGCTCTTTTCAAAGAGTTCACAGAGGCAGCCTGAAGAGGAAGCTCTCTCCAGGAAACTGATGCACAATGTTCACAAAATGGCTCTCAAAATTGGGGCACTACTAAGGAACCGGAATTCTATTTTTCATTTACCACTGTATTTTCAGTTATATGTTTCTAGATAAACCTATCTACAGAACAGACAAACAACTAGAATTGTCTTTATGATTTTCATTGTATAACCAAAAAAGACTGCTTTACGCCATTAAATATTGCTAGAAAGCTGCATTAGATAGTTAACTCTGTTCAAATGCCTTTAAAGAGCCTGAAGAAACTGTTCTGAAAATACACCATTTCAAACTTTTCCTATAAAATGGGTCCATTTCTTTTTTCCACATTCTACATGATACCACTCAAACCACCAAGTCTTACTAAAAATTTTTATTCTAATCCAGAAATTGAAAGGGTTTTTACACAAAGAGACAGGAGAAAAAGTAATACAATGTCTGGATATATTAATATAATTCCCAGATTTACTCCACCTTTCTTTGCTGTTCAGCTCCTTCCAGACAAAAATTACAAATCCATACAGGGCTTTTTGCCAACAAACTTCAAGAACAACAAAATGAAGGTGCGGTTATTTCTGCTCTCACATAAATATCCTCATGTTAAGATAAAGATCTCAAGAAGCAGTCAGAATTAAAGTTATTTGATAATGGATATAAGCCTCGAGCAAAGGATCTGAAGAGAATTATATTCCCTACAGGTCTGTGTATCCAGAATAGAGCAGACTTAAATATTAAACTGCTTTCCCTTAATGTCAAATTGAAATTATTCAACTCTTTCTGGCTTACAGAACATTCACCTGTGAAATTCTTGCCAAATGCCTGCATTTGTACAAAGACAGAATTTTAAGTTACAAAAAATTCAAGCAGTCTATGAAAAGGTGAGGCACTAATCACGACATAGTTTTGATGTAGTATGACAGTGCAAGACTTAAGTAGCTTATAATGGCTTTAAGCTGCTATCTCCTGACAGTGCAACCAGCACTGATTCTCCTTTCCAAAGACATTTCAACAGCCCAAGTCTCAAAGTATGTGTGAGGGAAAGCCATTTCAGCAGCTGAAAGAAAGGTACTGCCACAAAAGTTCAGAAAGCAGCAATACATCTCTCAGATCTTCTTAACTTGCCTGGTATCTTGCAAATAGCTAATGCCATAACAACATATATAATACATTCACTTACATCTTTTTCCACAATTCTGGACTCTGAGCTCAAGACAAAATTATAATCATTCAATCTAGACTTGAACATATCATTTAACATCAGAAAAAACAGGTTTGGAAGCGTCTTAGTATACTACTATATATAGAATATTATTAGTTATGAATAAAATACAAAATTTTAACTCATCACTGGAAAGTCATATTAGAGTATCTCAGTTAGTCTTCAATAAATTACTTATTTCCAATTTATCCTCTTTCCTTCTTCCTGTATTTTTGGCTACTGGAATACTGTAGAACAAATGTACCTAATCCGATTTCCAGACATAAATTATTTATTTATTATTAATTCATTAATTAATAATTAATTAGCACACAGTTAACCTTTTGAATATAGAGTATATGAAAGCTTTACTCAACAAGTTTAGATTGAAAAGAAAAATATGCTGATTCAAGAGTATGAATTAATCATCTCGAACATTCTCTTAGGTTTTCCTCCACTCTTTTGTAGGAAGCGCCTATGCTGAGCAAGCTCCCTGCAAGTTAAAACTAAAATGATCATTGCCTGTCCTAGGTTTCTTATAGAAACAAAGTAGAACCTTTAACAAAAAAGATTACTTTTATGTGAATACAGCCCAATACTTCCAAGAACAGCGGTACCAATGGTTAGAACTGCTCCCAGTTCCAAAAAAACAGAGTAGCTTGATACATACAGGTAAAACCTAACACAATAAGACCAAGCAGTGAGAACAAAGTTTATCAATTCACAAGCATGAAGGCATTGTTGCATTATGAAAATCAAATTTCCAGATGTCAACTTTTCTCTAAGAAAGTACATTTAAACAACAAAAACCTTCAAAACAAAAAGCCCAACCAGACCAAAAAGAGGCAACAGCAGTAAGACTACAACATTTTGGAACACTGAGGTATTTTGCCTCACAGCACAATAAACTCTTGCAATACTGTAGGAGACAAAACCTAATTACTTTTACCAAAGAATTTTCTTATAATTATGAGGTACTTGAGTACTTCCTAATGTTAGTGTAGCATTTATCACAACAAAAACAATGTTGTGAACAAAAATCTGTAGGAGTTTTTTGCCTGGTCTTTCTGCTCTGGTTTTCGGTTTGTTTTTTATTTAGGGTGAGGGTGTGTTTTGGCTTTTTTTTTTTTTTTTTTGACAAAGCACATAACTAGTTTATTAACTCAGTGTATTAAATGCCACTGAAGTTTCAGACCCTCATTCTACAAACAGAATTCACTGAAGCAAACAAACATTCTCATATGATCATTTAACTTTGGTTATCCACTACAAATTTGTGCAGCTTATACACACAATGACTTCTGCAGTCTGAATAGCAAATACTAGTCAAAATCCTGCAGGAAATTACAGTACTCTTAATTTTCCATATGGAAATAATATTTTTTTCATAAACCCAGGAAGAGCAGCTGCTACATAAACTGTAACATATAAATAGGTTTACCATTAAATTCCCTTATAAAAATATTCACAACAAATGGACGATTACTGTCTAATTAAAAAATCAAGTCCTACTTATGCAATTATGTTCAATATTAGAGGAATGCTTTTAGGCCAGTAAAGTTGTCATTTACCTTAAATAAACCATATTTCAAGAAGATAAGAGGAGTGAACATCCCACAAACCCAAACCACAGAACGGATGAAAACAGGCATCTAATTTAATGGAAGTACTTAACTTGGGGAAACTATAAACAAAATATCCTAGCAGATTTTAAAATTTCTCTTTATTGTACATTAAAGATTTGCTTTTACAAAACCAAGAGCAGACTGAAGAACTGCTACTAAAAGTTTCCTAAGGAATATATTCCTTGAACAGACACAGAAAAGGCACTAAGAACCAAGGGCACAGGTGCTTCAGGAAAATTTCTGCTGAAACATCATTATGACACACTAGGAAAGCTGAACACAGAGAACCTGAAATATTACCTATGTTAAACAAGAACTTCAATACCTACATTATCTCTGGTTTTCATATCCAGATTGTTTAAATTTTCTTCAGCTTCTTGGATTCTTCTTGTCCATGGGGCCTGCATTTCTCTCAGACACTTCAGTTCTTTCTTAACTTGGTTTCGGCACTGTTTCACTTCTTCATGCTGTTCACGAACATTTTCATATTCCTTGGAGGAGTAAAGTAAAACAATAAAAAGAAAGTAAAGTAAAAACAATAAAAAGAAAGTAAAACAATAAAAAGAAAGTAAAACAATAAAAAACTGCTGCATTCTGTTGCAGTGTTTTATACTGTCCAAAGATTTTATTTAACTGTCCATGAGTTTTAGAAAAATATCTCTTTCAGAAACTAGTGTTAGAGCAACTATGTAATTAATACTGTTACTATTTCAAATGACAAACAGTTATAGGGATCATTCAGTCCCCAGTGAACAAGGACTCATTATTAAAACTTCTTAAATAATATGCAATTCAACTAGCAGAAGAAACAACCCATTTGTCTGCAATTACCTTGTCTCCAAGTTCATCTGGGATCATGGAAAAAACTCCCTAGCCCCTCTCTGTTCATAGTTTGAGACTACTTACACAGGAGTCTAAAAGCTAAGGAGCAAATAACCACAGACAATTTTGGGAGAAAGAAAAGGAAATGAGCTGGACAGATTGTCAGAGCAAGTAACAGACACAGCCACTGCTGAAGTAAACCAAGGGGAGAGAGTGGAACATACTTTTGGGAAAAAAAAACTCCACCACACACCACAAAGCCATTGCTATCCAGGAAGTTTAACTCAAGATACATTCATGAGAGAAAAGAAATGGTAAGCAGTAGGGTGACCAAGAACCTCCACTTCAAAAAGATGGGAATTTTGTAGAGAAAGTAGTTTAAGCTAAAGGAGTCATTATTAGTGATTTTTCTGTGTGTGTTATACTCTCTGGAGAGAAAAAAAAAACTTAAAAAAGGAAGGAACAAAGAGAAGGGGAACCTCTCCCCAGCCCCTCCAAACTAAGAAACATAAGAGAACAATATATTCCATGACTATGAAAGCTTCATGAGGAAAAAAAATAAGATGTTCAGAGGTCCAGAGAGAGTAGATTCAGGTATGCAGGGGGACAGAGGAAGGGAAGGCTGTTTGACTTTGCCCCTAATTCAGAACATATGCCTAGTTTATTCCAAGCCCTGGAGGTTAATATTACAACAGTAACAGTAATAGTAATAATAAGAATTTTACATGCAGACCACCTGGAAGCTAATTTTAACAGGTTAATTGGCGTTATGTGCTACCACTTTTTCATAGTTATTTAACTAACCTTATGAATCACAGATAAAGCAACCTAGGCTACAAAATCCAAGGTCTTTCTTGACAGTATCTTTTTCATAAAGTCAGAAAGTATTTGATGAAAGCCGCTGTAATCCTGTGAAGTACAGTCAGTAGCCACTGCTACAAAGTTACAGAGATAAAAGGATTATATTTTCACTTATCTGAAAGATTAAGCTTAAAATTTAGCTCTGCTCTAAATAAGGCATTTTATTTCAAGATTAAAGCAAATGCACACATGTACAATTACACTTCAGAGTCCACAAATACAAAGTACAAGCAAGTTCCACAGAACTGTCATGACATAATCTTTACACAGCAAATCCTTTTAATACTTTAAGAAATTCTGACTCAACCAAAATACAGAGATCTGGTGTATCTGTACTCAAGTAACTTTGATGCTTGTAATTGTGCACTCCACTAAAGACCTGCAGAACTCCAAAAGCACTTCAGCTTTCTCAAGAGACATTTGCATCTTGAACCAATATTTTTCTTAATTGTAAACGTGAGGGGAGGAAAAGAAGAATGGACATAACTTGACCAAAACACATTTTCAAAACTACATGACATGATTCCAGGAACTATGTAATTCTATGGAATTTAAAGTATATGTTCAAAAACTTATTAAACACAGATATATGTGAAAATGGTGTATAATTCTCCATGTATAGAAGCAGCTGTCAGTGTCTAGAAAAAAAATCGCTTGACAAAAAAATCTTCCTCAGGTAAAAAGCAGTAGAGTCTTCAGAATTAAAATGCACTTCAACAGTGATCAGAACATGAAAAAGCTCATCACTAGACTTCTCTTTTCCTCTATGATTAAAAAACAGTCTAATGTCCTATTTGAGTTATCATAGTTCCAGGCTGTCTGTTTCTCTATTTTGCAACATCATGCAGCGTTTATAGATCTGCCTTCCAGCTGACTTGTAAGTTCAGGTGTAGCTACTCTGCTTGGTTACAAAGGTAAATTCAACAGATTGGTGTGTTTAGTCTTCAAGTTGAAATCTGCATTTAGGGGAGGATGGAGCAAATGAAATATCTTCACATCAAATCACCACTTCGGATTTGAAGCAGCCACCTGATACTGACACTTTGTAGACATCATATGATTATTCCTCTACACTTCTATCTACTGATGAGGATCTTACTCTTCTAGTATATTAACTACAATCGACTTCCAATCCTTAGAATCTGGTTTAAATCCAGAGAAGAATAGCAGCTAAATAGTTTAGTAAAGCTAACGAATCTTTGCTACAACAGAAGGAAGAATAAACTCCCATACTATTCTCAATTTCAGTAAACCCCATTTTAAAACACAAACCCACCAATTTATTCTAAGGACTAAACAGTGCTAGGTCAAAACAACAAAAAAAACCCCATGCTCTTGTAGAACAATGCAATTCTTCTCTTAGAAAGAGCTTGGTATTTTTGCAATGTAAGAGAACACTAAAAATTCTGTCACAGTTTAACAAATCACAAAACAGCAACAGAATGCGAAATTTTATTATAGCCCATAATTCAGATATCCTCTAACTAGTAAAACAATTACATCAATGCCCTTCGATTTCAAATGTAAATTAAGTACATTAAAAATCTCGTGTTAAAATTTATTAGAATTTCCCTATAGTTACTGCTCTCAGCATCTCTAAAGTGCATATTTACCTCCAGTTCTCTTCTCCTTTTTGTGAATCTAATATACACTACTGATTCTGTACTATCAATCAGAACTCCACCAAGGTGTCAAAGCACACTGTTGTCTCCATGGATTCGGTGGCCAAAAAGTTACAGTTAACTGAGTGCAACCACTAAAAGCCTTTAACATACTGAGCAATATAAGCTGTCTAGAAGACAGCAGTGGAAGTAAGGTGTTTAATCAAAGTCTGACTAAACTTGCTTAAGTATGACATAACTAACAGCAATGTTCTCTAGTTTGTAGAAGGTAACTTAACTGACAGCAGATAAAATCACTAGCTTAGTCTTCCTCTACCAGCGTCCAGCAAGCCTTTAGAGCTCTGTATAAGCGAGTATCTTACAACAGAGAACAATCAGCATCAGTCTACATTCATTAGGCAACACCAGGCTAACAAATGTAGTAAGAAAAAATCCTACCATTCAGCAAGTACTGACATCACAAGAAGGTATATCCTACTTCCTTAACACCTACTACCATCCATCTATTTAAACTGCTACTCCTAAATCCCTCTGCTGTTAGCAAGGTGATTTGAAGGCAGTTGTGACAGTGGTCACAGGGGTCTTTGGATGAGGGAAGAGATGAGAATGTTGACTCCATGTTTCAGAAGGCTTGATTTATTATTTTATGATATATATATATTACATTATAACTATAGTAAAAAGAATAGAAGGAAAAGTTTCATCTCAGAAGGCTAGCTAAGCTAAGAATAGAATAGAAAAGAATGAAAATAAAGGTCTGTGGCTCAGACAGAGAGAGAGCCAGCTCTGCTGTGACTGGTCACTAATTCCAAAGATCCACACGAGACCAATCACGGATCCACCTGTTGCATTCCACAGCAGCAGATAACCATTGTTTACATTTTGTCTCTGAGGCCTCTCAGCTTCTCAGAAGGAAAAAAATCCTAAGAAAGGATTTTCATAAAAAGATGTCTGAGACAGGCAGTGATGGGATTCCCAGTTGCTCAAGATGCAAAGGCCATAATGCTCTTTGCATAGCCATGTGAAGCTTCGTTATATGCAAAATTGCAAAAGTAAGTTTTCTGCATTCTTCATGAGCAGTAAATCAAGTTTTCTGGAAGTTCTATATCTGCATTTCATTATCTCTATACTTACATACAATATAATTAACTCTAAGCTTGCAAATGAGGCAAACAACATATTATTTCAGTAAACTGAAACCTCCATCAGTTTGAGCTGTTTAGAATCATTTAATCTGACTGATCATTCAACACTAAACTAAGGTAGTATTAAAGTGCTCCTCAGAAATGCTGACTTTGATTTGTGTAAATGACCTGCTCTTTACTCTAGGTTCTTTCAAATGTGTTTAAATATTTTTCTGCTCAAATGCTAATATTTTTGAGATTAGCAACTTAAATTCAGTGACATGTCTGTCATGCACACTAAACTTCAACTAATAAATTAAGAGGAACAAAACCACCAAAAAATTTTAACAAAAAAACGTAAAAAAGTTACAGCTGAAGAAGCAGAGCTGTCTAGAGCTTAAACCAGTTGTCTCTGCACAGAATAAAAGGACTGCAGCTAGGTATGTAAGCAAACATCACAGTTAGACCAAGAACAGAATTTCAAGAACTGGCCTGCTTGCACTAAGCATTAAGCAATAACACTCAAATTACTCCAGTCACACTTCTTCTAAAGCAACTTCTGGCCTATTTCTAATTTCACAATCTTAGAGAAAACAGGTTAAGTGAGAAAGACATTGGAAATTAAACTTACCACCCACGGCCTTTTCCTCTCAAGCATCTCTATTAAGTCTAAATGGCGCTTGTATTCATGGTATCTTTCAACATCTTGCTTGTACCGTTCAACCCTCTGCTTCATTTTCTCCAGTGAGGTGGATTTTTCTCTGCACAAGTTCTGTAATATATAATTTCAAGTTTTACAGTATCCAAACAGTTCCAAGAAAATAGTCTACATCTCACCTGTACATTAAAGCAGAAATTTAACATCAGAGGAGACATTTTAGTACAGCAGTAACTGGAGGGGAACCATCCAAAATGACAGGAATAGGAGAACAAAGGATTAAAAGAATGGCCTATATGGCTAAGGACAGACATTGTTCCCAGAACACTGGTCCTTTTCCTTTTTGTCTGTCTCTTAGTTTTCGAGGAAGTGAGCAACACTAAAGCAAAGGACCATGCTTTAATTCATAAGCCAAGGACTTACAGAAGACATAAAATAGTTGTCTAGGAAAGTTGTTGCCAGTCAAAAATCCCAAAGAAAGGAGTACTTGACAACAGGCATTCCTCGTCTTTTGGGTCTGGACCATCTGCAAACATCTTCGTACTTACAAGCATGGGAGTGTCAGAGTAAACGAGTTCTGAGAGAAGATGAGCATTATTTGGTAAAATCAACTTACCACAGACTCTGTAAATAAATTCCACTTTCTAATTCTGTTACATGTCAGGGTAAAATTTATTTCACTTTTCCTACATTCATTGCTGTCTAAAGAACATATTTACCTCTAGTTCTCTTTCCTTTTCTCTGAAATTTTTCAGTTCGCAATGAAACCGGTACATTTCTGGAGAACCAATGGACTTTTCAGTGGCTTCGAGCAACTCAGTCTTACTCAATTTTGTAAATTCTCCAACTTTGTCCTACAAAATTTCAAAAAGTTATAAAAAATATAGGATTTGTTAGAACAGTGCAATACAGTAATACTGGATTTATTCTATGCTAAGTAACTCTGTTATAGTTAATGATCATCTCATGGAGTAGCCATCAAGCCTTCCAGAAAATTTGTTCTCAGGATGCTGAAGCAGCCTTGCAGTATAAATCTTTTGTAGTATAAATAACTCGAAAGTTAAGCCACATAGAAGTTATTATTAAAGCTGGCAGACAAGGCTATTGGAAGTATTTCTGTTGAAATACTGAAATACTCTGAAATACTCTGTTGAGCAGAGTTGCTCAAAACTGAGACTGATGCAAGAAGTGTGCTTGCTGTTGATACAGTGGGAGAGAACAAACAAACCAGAACTATCAACACTGACAGTAATACTGACTGACCTGACTGTACTAAAGAGAAAAAGTTCTTTTAAACACAAAGGTGTTTTACCAGAGTATGCTTGAGGTTCCAAACAAATACTATACATAGCTGAAAGTGAACGATACGTCACCTGGCATATTTTTATTTGTGCAGTATTAGATTTCTAAACTTTAATGCTCTTCTGCACGTCTTCTTGAATTCAACAAAAACCCCATGGCTAGGGTCTGATAATGTTTCCTTTCACTATCATTCCTGATGATCCACATGAACAGGGAAAGAACCTATCACAACTTTAGGGTGCAGTGTGAGGCAACTTAGCTTTCCACACATGAATCCTGACCTGCTTGAACATGCATTCAAATACAGAAACTGCCAGTAGTATTCTTTAATCTCTCTCCTTTAAGACTTACTTTCCATTAGGATGATTTTACTCTTACATAATTCAATCCTATACATCTTTCAGCCCTATGCTTAACAAACTGCTGACATTACCAGAAAGGCTGTATTAGCAAGTGCTGCTACTTGAACACGAAGACAGGGAACATCAGCATCTTTCCTTTCAGAGTCAACAGGTACAAAATTGTCCAATTAGTGAGCTTTAAAGGTCACACAGCTCCTCTTTTCTTTCACCATTACACCAGCATGGCTGCCTCAACCCTCTTGTTCTTTGTGCTGTCCCACTGACCTAGGCAAAGTGCTGCTAAAGCTAACCAGCAACAAAATCTTCTCAAACCACAGCACTCCATTTTCACCCACTGTCTTTCAAAATTGATTCATACCTGAGGAAGAAACTGGCACAAATTGTCCACCTGGATGTTTAAAGCTGCAATTTTTTCTTCTACTGTTTTCAGGGTTGCTGGTTTTCTGTTGATAAACCACACTGATGCGTTGTTCACCACATAAATCTCACGTGTGATAAGAATATTTCCTGGTGACTTAAACCTGATTAATAGAAAGAAGTGTTTACACTTCCAAGAACATCTGAAAAGTGTTCCACCTTTAAAGGTTACCCAGTGTCAAAGTATTGTTAAAATTTATAGATAGCTAAATATTTAATCTAAATTAACTGGACAGTAGCATCAGATTCCTATTTCCGTGATTCAGAAAACATCCAGTACTTCAGTGATGAACTAAACTCACATAGGAAACATCAAGAATATCTGCAAATCTTAACTCAGAAGTTACTAACATAAATGAGATGCTCATGCTGAATGTATGAAATACTTAAAAGTTGTTACAAATATGAACAGTTTCTATAAAAGCATAATCCGTGTGACAATTACAAGTTTTAAAATTGGTGTGAAGGAGGTACAGTACATCTTTAAGTATCAGTACACAGAAATACATCAGTAAGCTGTGCATATATACTCAATTAGAGAAAAAAATAGCATACAACACAAAAAAAACCACAGAAGATACATTAGTTTTCATTTCGTTTTCTAGCTCCATATCTATTTTCAAAAATTTAGTCGGTCAAGATGCAGCAATAACAACTAAGTCAAACTCCCGGGATTTTGGTTTACAATTTTGATTTAAAAATTGCCTAGTGCCTGTTAAGCACACTCTTAAGGATGGGGAATATAGACATGCAGGGAATATAGACGTACCTCAGGACATTTAAGAATGAAGTTCAATGCAGAAGTGAGTACACATCTGCTGCTGGTGTTTGGACTAAGCACCATAGGGATATAATCCCATTCTTGATTACTGAACTACTACTTCCTGCGTCACCTCATTTTAATTTATGAGGCTTCATTCCAAAGACCTACAAAGCCATGCTCCTTCCTTTCATTAAAATAACATCATTTTACTATCATAACTTGGGTTTAGCTACATTTCAGGTGCCAAATTCAACAAAGGCAACACATACCTACAGAACTTCAATTTTTACTTCCTGTCGAAAAAGCAATCTTCTGCATCATCTCCCATCCTACAATCTTCTGCATCGTCTCCCATCCTACATGTTGTATTTAAACATTTTCTACCAATCAGACAAAGGACTCAACTACACTGCAACCATGACATGCTAGGTCTAATGAGCTATGAACTGCTAAATCTTCATACATTGCAAGATTCTCTCCGGAATTTCAAGTATCATTGGAATATATTTATGTTAAAACAACTGCACCATCCACCTGAAAGACATCCTATCTCCTGAATACATCTTGCCTGGCCAAACACTAAAGAAGGTCTTACTTGATCATTTCCACAATAACCAATGGACAGACAAATTTTTCCAAGGTCTGCTGTGGGTTTTTTTTTTTTGTCTCAATAAAATTTTATTTTTAGAGAAAATAAATTTTCTTTAAAATTCTGATCAGGGTGGCCAATTGTTATGCAAATTAACACAGGCTATGAATCAGTTGACTATCTCTACTTTCTCTTTCATTCAGGCCAACAGACTAGGCTAAGGCTTATTAAAGTCACCTGTGCCATAGCATACACAAAAAAAGATGCATGTAGTATTGCCCTATGCATAAGCTACTAATGGAATTTTAAGTCCAAAAGATTTCCAGTTGCTCTGTTTTGTGGCAGCTTACCTACAGGACTGCATTACATGGAATTAGTCAGATCTTTTCTTTTACTTCTTTTCTACCCGTATGTGATGTTTTCAGTGAGAATGTAGGCAAGCCCCTCCTACTAGCAGTATCGGTATAAGAAAGTGAAGACAGATCGATCTGTTTTAAAACTTTTGTCTTTTTTCTTTAATGAAAAGAATTCAAACCACCACATAGTGATGGCAGGAGTGACAAAATCATCAGAACCTTAAATGTAATCAAAAGATAAACACACCATACAGAACTATCTTTTTCTATGCATTTTTTGTACATCAAGACAAGGTGAAATGCTTCAGAAAGCAAGATCATGAGTATCTATCACTGCTTATTTCTTGTGTGAGAATTATATAACTTTATGTTCCAAAGCCTGTGGGAATTAAAAAATGACAAATTAAGCTTAAAGAAAAACCTCTGCACAACAAATTTTTTTCTCACAAGTTTGTGAATAACTGTGTGGGGAAATGATCCAATTAAAAGCACCTGAGGAAAGAGTTTTACTACTTACAGTTCAATTTCCACTATGCCTTTCATGCACCCCTGCTTCACAAACAGACCAACCTACAAAATTAATTTACAAGTTGTTATTGCAAAATAAAATGTATTAACTTAAAAGAATACACATTTGTATAATGGAGCTACTAAACAATGTAGTTTACTGAAAACTCACAATTAAAAGCAAAATAAAGCACTAACTAAAAATAAAGGAAGACACTACTATCCTCCACCATCAGTATTAGAACCTCCTCCATTCAATTTCTGATCAACTTGAGCCTCGAAAACTGAACAAATTATAATCAGCAGATCCACAGACAGGAAGAAGTTCTCGTGAATTTGGGGAACAAAGACAAGTGAAAAGACAGTGCTGAGTACCTGTACTAGAACTGACAATTCTAATAGTATGAAAATACATCATGAGAATTAAAGAGAAACACCAACACACAATATTGCCATGCAGTCAATTCCCATGTTCCCATTTGTTTATGACTGGGCAGCTTCAAGAGAACATGTGCAATCATTCAGGCACCTAGATTAATTGCTTCAAACCTACTCAGAGAAATTGCATCCAACAAGAATATCCAAGAAAGCAAGTGCAAAAATTTGAAAATGTCAAGATATTACCTTCCTACTACAGTGTCAATGCTTATCTTGACAGTAAAAAGTGAAAATAGAGTAGAGCAATCCAAATTCCATTTAAATCAAAGATCAGTGCCTCTATGCTTTCAGCTGAATTTTCAAGACACATTAGTATGTTATTTCTAGAGGTACTACATATTTTAGAATTTTTGACTTTGTCTATTCCTCCTTTAGTTGGTACTTCTTATCAAATGTTTAGGCCATTAAGTGGCATTTTTGTACCCCACTGTGGATGCTTAGTCATCTTCAAATAAAATCTCTAGTCAACTCAGACTGCCCTACAATTTAGGTGTTCTCATTTCATAATTTATACAAGACAGCTAATAGTTAATTAAAATAACTCCCCTTTGTCTCTGGACCAGGTTACTCTTCAATTCAGATGCCTCACTTTTTATAAAAGTAAAGTAAATCAAGGAAGAGAGTCTTTCCCCCATCCTCTGCTAGACAGCGCTCTGAATGAAATTCAGATTCACTATGAAAATTACAAAAGCTCATAATTACCTTATCAGCTCGCCCTAAGAAAGAAGGTTTTCCAGCCAGTCCCAGGCAGATGGCACAAACTATACTTGACTTGCCTGTGCCATTAGCACCTACGACCACGTTCAGGTTGGGCCCTGGATATACTTCACAGACAGTGTATGTCCTGGAAAGCACAGCAAGTTTTTGAATTTTAAAACACTGTATTACCTTTAAAAAAAAGGAACTTGCTTAGAAATATTTCATTACTTTATTAAACAGATACAATTTCCTCCTTTAGACTCAATTGTGAAATACCATTTTGTAAGAAAGTCTCGAGAGTGAAAACTAACATTTCAGTGAAACACCATGAAAGACATTCCCACCAGCCAGAGTACTCAGAACTTTCTTTAAAATCAGTGACTGTGCAGCATAAAATCCAGCAATAGAATGATAAGTTTTTTAATAAACTTACCAGGGTCTCATTTTATTTTATGCATCAAAAAGAAGACAGAAAACAGATAATGCAGTAGCTTTCTGGAGTTCAACTCGTATCAAATCATCCCCAGTGTTCGGGGTTTTTTTTAACTGCATTAGACATCTTTCACCATGTGCATCCAGAATGCCTACTCTAATAGTAACTATGGGAAGAGACCAAACTCACTCATGGAAACTCGCATCAAGTTAACACCCTAAATTTATAAAGAATCATTTGACGAATTTCCTATTCCTGAACTGTGCCAAACACAGAGAGCTGAAATACTACCACAAAAGGAGGAGTACAAAGTAGATAATGGCAACGCAATATTATAAACCATGTACTTGTGGAAGAGAAGGTATATGAACTCTTAAAGAGGATTTAACTACTATCTCTGAGGATTCAATTAACACATAATACGTGTCTCATGCACTACACTACTGAAGATTTTCAAGCTAGCATGGAGCCGTAAGCAAATGGTCCGACGACTTCTGCTGGTCCAAATACGTCCAAAAACCATGCTATTCGCAGTACACAGCAGGTGGAAAACACACGTGCAAAGACCACACACACTTCATCCTAATGGGTGTCAAGGCCTATCGCCACTGCCCTACGAGCACTTTCTGCAGTGTCCCCTTCTGCAGTGCTTGGCAGCCACTTGCCTGAGAGACGAAGAGCACGCAGAGGCTGCACGGCCGACAGGAGCCATCGTCTCTGGGCAAGGCTGCCCAGCACCGGGGAACGCGCTGCCAAGGAAGCGACACTGCGCTGACAACCCCTGGGACTCGTAACCCACACAGCAGTGTCTCCCAGCGCCCCACGCCGAGTAAGACACCACCTTCCCTGGAACATCGCTTTCCGCACCCCCTCCGCCAGCCCTCGGTACCCGCGCGACCCCGCTGCGCTGCTTCGGCCCCTCTACAGCGGGGCGGAAGGAGCAGGCCGCGGCCGCTCAAGAGCGAAGAAACGCCCCCCGCTGACTTACAGGAAGTTCTTCATGAAGATCCTGACGATGGAGCCCGGTACAAAGGGGGACTTAGACTCACCACGCTTCACAACTTTCCCCTCTTCCCGCGCCGCCGCCATGTTTCCCGCCCTGGCCGCCCCTCCTTCCCTCTTGGGGCTGAGCCCGCACCGCGCGCCCAGCCCGGTTGCCCGGGACTGAACCGCCCTAAAGCTCCTCATTGGCCGGGAGCGCCGGCGCTCATTGGCTGGCGGAGCGGGGCGGGGCGTTGCGGGGCGTTGCGGCCCTTGTTGCTGGGGCGGCCGCGGCTCAGCGCTCTGCGGGGGTCGGGGTGGAGCGTTTCCCAGTCCCGCGTTCCGCTGCTCGTGCGGACCGGTCACCGCCGCGTTCCCTGCGTTCGTTTACAGCGTTATGAGCAGCTGGGCGTGTTTAGTTTGGAGAAGACTGAGAGGGAATCTCATTGATGTATACAGCTGTCTCAAAGGCGGATGCCAAGAGAGGTTGCTAGACTCTTTTCAGTGGTGTCCTGCGACACGATGAGGAGCAATGGCCATAAAGTAAAGCTCAAGAGCTTTCCTCAACGTGAGAAGAATTCCTTTACATTGAGGGTGGCAGAGCACTGTAACAGCCTTCCCCTGGAGATTGTTGAGTCTCCCTCTCTGGAGGCATTCAAGCCCCACTTGGACACATTCCTGTGTCACTTGCTGTAGATGACCCTGCTTTGGCAGGGTGGATTGGGCTGGATGGTTTCCAGAGCTTCTTTCCAACCCTAACAATTCTGTGATTCCATGATTCAGGCTAATGGTTCGGGTAAATAACATTCCAAGACTGGCTGTCAGACAAGAAGTTGTTCCCGGGTGTTTCTGGGAACACAGCTCAAGGGTGAGCCCAGGAGCCAGGAATCGAGGCTGAGGCCTCAGGAGAGCTCCTGAGTGGCCCAGACCAAGGAGCGTGGCCGGGGAATGCATCACAACAGACAGCTCGTCTTTGAGGTGGGATCAGAGTCAGGTTTTCTCTCTCAAAACATGAGAGAGGGAACAGGACTCAGTGTGTCTTTCACACTGCCAGAGGAGCGTGCTCTCTCCAGGCTTTGCCCTACACCACTGCTCCTTTGCGTCTCCTGAGTGAGGGCAGTCACACTGGCAAGCACTGCTTGCATCCAGGTGGACAAAATGCCAGCTCTTTTAGTGCTTGGCTTGAGATGTCTTTGTTAATATTCATTATTGTGAAGTTTGTATTAGGTTTATTTTGGTGTGACACCATAGTCAGAATACCATTTCATTTATTTTACAAAGGCAGAATAACAGTGACATTTTATAACAGTTGTTATTCTGGATTGCTGTTGGCGTAAATGAGATCTGAATTGGCCCCTCTTTTTCGAAATTATTAAAGATAATGATAAAATGAAAATTAATGGGACAATATTTTAAAAATAAAACCAATATTAAAATAAGGACGGCGTTGAACAGGAAGACAATAAAAGGGCTTTACACTGATCTCAGGACAAGCTGGGTTCCAGTCCAGCACAAAGCTACATTTACGGCAATCAAATACAAGCCCCAATGCTTGGGGCATTATAGCTGCTTTTCAAGGGTTTTTTTTTTTTCATTTCCATTTTACAGATTGCGACACAACTGGGATTAAAGCAATTACTTGTAAGGTCTTCACTAGCTTTTGAAGAATTTTCAGACATTAAACAGGCCTGGTTGGCAAGTCTCAAAAGAACTGTTCTTTACCCCACTGTGGTACTGGTACAGCTACTGCAGCAGTGAAGAAAAGAAAAAATAGTAAATAAATATGGCTGCAGGGCAGAAATTAATTGCATGAGGAGTTTCCCATTTGGACAGAGCTGATAGAATATTTTTTTTATTCCACCATAAAACTGAAGTTTGCTAGTGGAGAAATCTTAATGCGCCATACCCAGTTTTCAAATGTTTTGTAGCCATTCTTTCACTAGTCTCTGAATTTCCTATTCTATGAACTGATATTCATCAGACACTGAAGTAAATGAAAGCCACCTTTCAAATTTTCCCTCTGTACTTTGCCAAAAAAATGATTGAAAAGGTGATGTTCCCTACTTAAGGAAGAACTTAGGTGTTTCTTTGGTTTGGTTTTTTTGGTGAGTTTTTTCCCCCACCTTTTTTTGCTTCCCCCCCCTCTCCCCCTCCCCTCATCAGGACAATGCCTCACACCTTGTGGATAAGTATTTCCTTCAGTAATACTGATAAAATGACTGCAGCACTGAGGTCCCTAGAAATCACTCAGTGGAGAACAGGTTAGAGTCCTTCATTTAGGCTTTTATTTTATCAGCCTAAATCTGATTACTTTGATGGAGGGAGGCAGAGTTATGTAGATCTTTAGAGATAGAGCCTAACAGTTGTACTTCATGCTTCATTTCATTTACATACAGAGAACCACCAAGTATGATTATCTGAACCACTTCACTTGTTTTCTGCTTAGATAATTTGAGCTGAATATTGATAACAAAGCATGCACTTTACAGAACAACTGTAAAATTGTGTTGATGCATAGGAAACAGTCCATTATTTCTGTTTGCTTTCATTTTTGAATGATAGCAAGAGTGATGTGTTCATAAGCAGATGACTAGGGAGACTGTAGGTACCTAGGAGAGGCAGGTAAGATATCAATTCCTTTTGGCTCTTCCTCAGTCTCTAGGAAACGAAAAATGGCTTCAATATGTGTGGTTAAAAAAATGCACGAGTATTGAACATATTACATTGAACATTCTTTTCAATTGTTTCTGCCACCAAAATGAAAATTTACAAAAGATGCAAGGGCCTGGACCATCCCAGATGCTGTTGATCCTTATAGGCTGTTAGGAAAAGCATATTCTTTGTTCTGAAAGGACCGGGATATGGTGGCTGTAAGAATAATTTCTACCACTCAGTACAGTACATAGCTTCCTGCAGCAGTTCAGATTACTTTTTGTTAGCCTTCTTAGGTGATGTGATCCACACATTTCATTGTCTTCATGTTCAAAATAATGAATTCAGGCTACTTTATTAGGTTCAGTTCTTTCTCCTTACACTGATTAGTACGAAGTATAGAGCAGAGCAATAAGATGATACTCAAACTTTCATTTTATTAGGAAGTTAAAGTAAATTTAAAAAAAAACTTACATACATACATAAAACCTTAAAAAATAACAAGACGTGAATTCAATTTCCTATTAATATAAATGCAAGACATCTGTGGTTGGGCAAAGTGTAAGTACATTCTCTGTGAGCTACAAACTTATTTAATAAAAAAAAATCCAAAACCAACAAGACTCTCATCCCAGAAAACCTATGGTTTTAAAATGTTGCATTTCATATAATTCCACAGGCCAGCATCTTATGCTGAATTATACTGAACACAAGAAGTGAGTTTTTTATTGACAAATATATGTTATAGTAAAATAATACACTATCACAAAAAATTGCCAGCAGAGTATTAAGTTTCCCAGAGAGATTTGTCATTGAGAATAATTGCACTTAACCTGTAGGATAATACTAGTAGCTAACACTCTTTTCTTTGTTATTTCAAAGCATTTATAATTTTCTTAACAAAAATCCATTCTATCCCCAACACAAAACATTCACTGAATGCAGATTTAAGATAACACAATATTGACTTCAATTGTGCAACTTGAATTTCCTCTTTTTACTTATATACCAGAAACGTTAAAAAAATTAAAAATGAATGATCTGTGCAAAATGGGAAGCCTTTATGTAATAACTACTTATGTAATAACTACTTCCTCATGCAGAAGAGGAAGTAGTATCAAAAAATTATGGTCTAACAAGCCCTGAGTCAATAATTTCATTGAAAAGGCAAGGAACATGAGTGCTCCAAGTTCTTCCTATGTATTGGTGTGTATTCAAACCAGTCCAGTATTTACTTAAATCATATTTTAAAACAGGCAGTTCGTGCAGTTTCTAACATACAATTCTTCAATGTGCTTCATTCCTTTCAGCAGACTGTATTTAATACTCAATTTCATTTAAGCTGTCTGGATAGCCTGATGAGAACTGAATTTCTTCCACTTCTGGAATACAAAGAATGAAGAAATACTGTAATTCTTTTTAGTTTGTCATACATAAGAATACTTACAGCAGAATTTAATTAGCATGCTGGATTTAAATGGTATTGTCATGTGGTTTTTAGAAAGTTTACAGCCACTAGTTTACTAGTTGAGATTCTGAGGATGATCTCACATCCTATTAGAGGGTAAAAGTTCTGCACTAACCCGGCAATAGTATCAAATGGAGATTGATACTACTGGGAAATATCACTCACCCACAAACAAGCACTGTGAATTTCAGGTGTCTCTTACAAAGTGTCTTGAAACTTACCCAAACAAGGTCCTGCCTGGAACAGAATATCATCAATAGCAGTGTCACTTCTTATTGACACACCACGGATTGCCTCAAAAATAATCTGTACAGTGAGACACAAATTTTCATTAATCCACATGTTGGAAGGACTGAAAAAAATAATAGCCATGCAATCTATTCAAGGGATACCCTTTACCCCCTCCTCTGCCCTCCCTTCCCCTCTCCTTTCCTCTCCCTTTCGTTTTCCCTTCTCCTTAGACAGACCTCTGGCTTTGCCTCATTCCTTCTCCTTGGTGCCCCCTTAGAAAGATCATCCTACACAAGCTGCCATTTCATCACAGCTCAGTAGCTGTGTCAAATCTGGACAGGGCTACAGACAACTGAAGGAAAAGAAATTACACAAATGATCTTGAAAAAGCCCTACCACTACTGACTAAAAAATGATAGCATTTAAATTTAAGTACTTTAAAATGGCATTTAAATATGTTTAAATACATTTGAATTCATAACTGTTTTCCTACTTGCAACTTATTCATGTATTTAATAAATCCCTCCCTAACTTCATTTGTAAAAAATTACATTATTTCATGTTCTTCAGGTATCCATTCAATGCCACCTACATTTAAACATTTTATTGTAATTTTTTTTTAAACAATACAAAACTTGGATTCTAGTGCATACTTCATTTCAATATTCCAATTTGACTGCTTCTTGCTTTTTTTTCTTACCTGGTAGTTTGTATCACTTTCATATTCTATCAGTCCCCTTAGCCATGAGATGCTTTGTTCCCCTGTCCTCCTCCACAAAGGTATCTCTTCATCATCCCCTTCCTTTTTTAGATAAACACTTAATAATCCAGTCCCAGCTCCATACATATGATAGAAAAATGTCAGGCACTGTTTTCCAGATGTTCCTCTTAGTGATCTTGAAACTAGGTATGCTCTCTGTCCATAGACCATGTTAGATGCCTCTATATACATGTAGTATCCTTTAGAAGATATAAGTAAATATTAGCAAAGTAGGATACATTACATTGGAATGTTCATTATGCTCAATATACTCATTATATTAAAAAAACCCCATGATTGAAACTATTTTGTTAATGATTCACAGACTTTCTGCATTTGTGAACTGTAATATTTGAGATACTGTAATAATGGTATGCTGTAATAATGCTGGGTTTGAATTCATAAAGCCAAGAGATGATCTAGTCTTTATAACAAGTTTATAGTATGATTCAGTCTTTAGAGAAAAAGGCAAGTTATTTTATTATGCTGTAATAAACATAATAAAATAGTAAGAAATAACTGACAGTACTTCTATGCATAGTGAACAACAAAATATTTGAAATGGATTGCACTAGGTTTGGTACAAACCAGCTTGGGAATCCTCCAATACACTGTATGAATTATGGATCTACAGCTGTAGATAATGTTCCTTTTCACCCTCTCTCTTGACTGCTGCTCACCACCAAACTACAACCTGGCTGAGAGGGGATGTCTTCACTAGGGGTTTGCACAGAAAATAGGACTCTTGAGTACTACAAGATACTCTCAAGTATCCACTGGCTGCTGTTGCTGCTCTCAGCATTCTGCCTGTCTAACTGATCCTTGGGAATTGCCACTCCCTCTGAAGGCAATCTCACCCCTAGGACTTGTGGTGACAGACAGGCATGTAAAGGGACAGACCACAAAAAGGGAACACTGAGACTGCATGAAGAGTTCCTGCATTATCTGAGTTCACTGTCTTCTGGCAGAGTGTACATCTCAAAACAGAACAGTTGTTTTATGCAGCAGATGGGATGTGGGGATGCTCCTCAGTCTTCTCACACACTTCAGTTTGCTCCAGCTGGTGATATCTGAGTGATGGAATGAGGGGCATGAATTTGCCTTCCACCAGTTCATGGCCTGAACCCTTAAAACTTGGTTATATATGTTGAAATATGTAGCCACAGAAAAGGAAGAATATACTACAGCTGCAGTTACACCAGGAATTGCATTCTGGTAGAGATTGATTCATTGGAATTCAGAGACAGCTGCAAGTACATCTGAGGGTATGCTTTAGGCTGTGGTTGGTGGTGATGCAGTTTTCTGCGCCTTCATGCTAATGGGGGTCATAAATACTTGAACTTGTACTAGTGAGCTTGTGGAACACATTTTCAAAATAAAGGCTTGTGGGATCTCTTTTATTCTTCATGTTTTCTTTTAAGTTTGAACCCAAAGGGGTATATACAGAAGAATCCCAACCACTTGCACAGCTTGCTGTTAAGAAATGAACTAAGGAATAATCATTCACAGACCAGGTTTAAAAGGCTCTCAGTTTTAAAGTCAAGCTATCAGCCTCACTTCTCAGACTACTTAATGATCCACATAAACTGAAAATAGGTCTGAAGTCAGTCTCAGGGAATATTCATGTAAACTGGGAGTTTGGAAGGAGCTTTTTCTGTGAGATCTGGACAGTCATCCTCTTCTTTTATCTCCTAAGGAAAAGGCTACTTTGGGACATGGCAACCAAATTATCCATATGGCCTAGAGATAATTCAGATTTAATGTCATATTCTCAAAACCACTCATGAGTTCCCTGTGAAATGTGCTTATTTCGTTTGATTAGTAACTTTTCTGAATAGAAGAGCAAAAGCTTTCTCTATCTTCTGGGTTATCATTTAAAATATTTAATTAATACTTTTTATTAACTGCCAAACTCTGTTCTGAAAGTTCAATGTGGAATTTAACTCACCTACCCCAGTAGTGTGGTCTCCTTTCGGTCCAGTGTAAGAAGTGGGAGTTGGACCCCTCTTCCTGTGCCAGCTCCCACGACCTCTCTTCTTCTGGGTAAACACACACTCATCTTTTTCAAAAGTGCATTCTCCAGGAGTGGGCAGCAACAAATCTGTAAGGAGAGGATATAGTTTAAAACTTAAAATATGTTAGACTGATATATGGAGAGATTACACAAGTAATGTATTGCATTTCCTCACCTGCTGACATCAATTACAGCTACCTGGCAATGCTTACAATAGTCACAAGATTATACAAGCTACCTTCAAACTGTTGTATAAAATTTAATTTAATTCTCTTCACATCTTTGGGAAAATCTGTGCCCTAGTCTAGCTCAGTAACTAGGATTCACTAGTCCTAGGATTCTTTAAAACAGTTTATTATTCTTCACAATAGTGTTTTGGACTAGATGATCTTAAGAGGTCTTTTAGTTTTAATGGTTGGATTCAATGGTCTTAGAGGTCTTTTCTAACCTTAGCAATTCTATGATTCTATAACTGTTATAGAATTACCAGTGTAATTTTCTTCACTGTTTTGGCACCTCAAGCAGGTTAATAAGCCCCAGCATGTATAACATGCATAATAAATGAGCATTGTCAAAGACTGGAGTTTCTGTGAACTGAAATCAATGCCACATTTAGCTCTCCTCTGTTCTTTTGGCACCAGACTCTACTGCAGCCTACAACATACCACAGAGCTGCAATTACTGGAGTATTTTCATTATTTCAATTCTATTAGATCATACAAAAGGTGATATAATTCAGGTGCACGCCAGGAGGCTTCTGTCAGGTAATCTTAATTTGTCATTCAGAAGTAGACATTTTGAGCTGCCGACACCTTTTGAAGAGGAGGAAGCCTTGATACCTCCGGGGCATTTTTCAGGCATTTATTTTGCTGCCATCAGAGACAAGCCATGGCATGACTATACACCCAGATACCAGTTCTGCACCTTTGGTTTCTTTTCCAATTACTTAAAAATTACAGCAAGACAGCTGTTGGAAATAGTTTAGAAAAATGGCATCTTGTTTTGTACATGTGACTTCTCTCTGTTTTTTTAGCCTGAATGCATCCAATCAAGAGAGGTCATTAAAAAGCTTTTAGGACCATTGCAAAGACATGGCTTTATTCCAAAGAAGAACGGGATTGTAGATTGTGCCTGCCTCATGAGAACTTTTTTAAAAAATCAGGATACAATTGTTGTATTGTCAAACCTCACAAAGCCACAAAAGGGGGAGTTTGGTGAGTTCAGAGAGGTTGGCCTGTGCATGTCAGAGGGTAAAATTTTACTGAAAACCATTCAGTTTCTCCCACTACAGTGGGAGTCTTGGACTGCTTTTCTCTGTGTTCATCAAAGAACTGCAGCTCAGGTGAGGCTGTGTCTTGACCTTGTACAATTGTATTTCTTGCTTAAAATAAAATTATGCTGTGTTTTGAAAAACACAGGGTCCATTTCTGGCTTCTTAAAGACCATTTGAAAACTACTTTTCACTCAGTTGAACTGTGGGTTTATTTTAATGCCCTCAAAGGACCTTTCACCTATATACAACCACTCTGGAGTCACTGAAATTTATTAGGAGTTATCTGGTACCCCTGTGAGCAAAAACTGGTCCTTGCTGGATGTTTGCTACTTTGCAGAAATAGGATTTATACAATACTTATTGGAAAAAAAAAAAAAAAAGACGAAAAGACGAAACCACAACAGGATGAAGTCAGCTGTAGGATAGGCTTGGAAAATGAAGGTGTATGAACTCTTCTCAAAAGGATAGCAGCTGTTGGATGACAAATACACATGGTCTTACCAGCAGCCTGGCAGCTTCCCAGGCTCAATGATACATCATCCAGTGCCACAAGTCCACAGTCCCAGAAGCTTTTACACCAGCTAACAAAGACAACCTGCGATACAGGATGAAAAGGAAGTTTCATGTATAAAACCTGGCACTGTTAAGAGTCTGAAATGTTAAGTATTTTTTCCAAATGCACAGATAATTTTGAAATCTACAGAACAGGAATAATGGATGCACTTTGCCTTGGCACATTCTGCCAATGACTGAAATGTCAATTCTAGTGGGGACTAAATGTATGTTTTCAATCTAAAGAAAATATTTTCTCACTTTTGTAGGCAAATTATGTATATCTCTATGTAATTCCCATTTTACTAGAGTATTTTTTTGTCTCTGAGAAAACATGACTCACTGAGGCTGTGCTTTTTTCTTGCCCAACACCCAACATGAACAGCTCAAATATCTTCAGCTGTCTTATCCTGAAAACTAAGAGGTTTTATCCATGGAAAAATAAATTTGAAAGAGTAATGTGGAGTGATGGACAAGAATGGCTGTGGCAAAATGCAAAGAACAATAGAGAGGAACTCAAACTACTACACACAATGGGATTATTCATAAATGACTGAGTGCCATGACATCGTAGCGCAGGAGACTTGAAATGTTATGCATAATTCACAGTGCTCATCTGAGTTTGTGAAGGTTAATAAAAACATCCAAGATCATTGATTTGAGTAAACATTAATTCTGCCATGGAAAATACAAGTCACTCATGAGATAGTAAAACAAAATGTAAAGAAACTCTAAGACTCTCAGTTGCCCTTCTGCCAAAATTGACACAGATCTCTTTGAATTACAGAAGACATATTAGGATTTATTTTATGAAAACACTGCTGGCAGTTTTCTTGGCCTAACTACACCAAACCATCTGTCTGACCACTGGGGTTATGACCATAATTTAGGAGGAGCTTTTCAAAACAATGCCTTTGTGTTGAATTCTATTCTAGTGATTGCAGATGGATTACTGTCACTTCTAACTGTTTAATTTTCTGGACAACACCTCAGTTGCATATTTGAGGTTAAATGCTGACTGACAAGTTTCACATGGGTACAAAATGGCATTCAAAAGTTGTTAGAGCATTACTTAGTACGTTCTCTTCTAGTAGGCTCGGTAACATTTTCAGTATGGTACTTACATGGTATTTTGCCAGTTTGTTTTGCTATGTAATATTTACTGACTCATTTGCTTATAATAACAGGAACTACACCAAAAACTTGGAAGGGTGTATGCATTATGCTGCTCAGGGTGGAGCACTTTTTGAAACTCTTCAATTCAGTGCTCCCAAGCCTGATTATTATTGATTATCTGTCTTCTAAACTGCCACTGGTATGGAGTTACGGAGTGTCCCTGCACAGAATGCAAAACTGTTCAGCATATGGTGGCCTAAACCTCACACCTTTTTTTGTTCTTTTCTTCCCACTGTAGAACTGTTTAACAGGACAAAAATTTTTTCATACTTTATAAATTCATTGTCAGGAGACAGGGGCAATCCTTTAAAAACAGTAGCATCTCTTGGAAAAAAGCATAAAATAAGCATAAAATAAGATACTGACATTGGGTGAATACCATTGGCCAGAATTTTAATAAATGCATTCTGGTGAACATTTGTAATGAACTAAAGACATATTGTAGCCCTAAATCCATGAATCTCAGAAAACCACACATGTAAGAGTGAAGTCAGTCCCCATTTGTGAAATAACATATCCACACTGTGGAGTCATGTTTTAAGCAATGCTTTAGTACTGACCTCACTGGGAGCAGTGTTCTTTTTTATTCTTAGATTGCAGTAATTTGTTCCATACAAGGTATGTAACTACCCATTGGGTCCTGGAGAAAGCCCTCCATTTAAAAAGCATCACAACAATAACTGTGGTCTCTCAAAGGCCACTGAACCAGTAATCTTTGTACAACCAAAGGATTGATCTGATTCAGTGACTTGTTCAGCTTTGCCATCTGTAGCTTAAGCTTCACTAGTTTTCCACTTGATTTTTGTGGTGTTGAGGGACACAGTGCCATGAGCACACTCCGTAATCTCAGGGATGAAATTACAAAGTCTTCTACTTGGGAGCTTCTACTTGTGAGTGCAGAGTTTTCAGTACTGGCTATAGCAAATCTACTGAAATTGTTACAGTCCCCTCAATTTATTTTATTGTTACATTCTTGATTTAATTTTAAGCAATGGACTAGAACATTTTTATTCACAGGTCAAATTTATTCACTCTTCTTCTGTTTTAAATATACTTTTCTGTCATAAAGCAAAATATTTGAGTATTTGAACCTTACCTACCAAAATTGTATCAACTTGGATTTACTAAACTACTCATTTTCACACTCAGTCAGATCTCTGAATCCTTCCTACAGTCTCAATAGAACTAATCTCAAGTTGCTTTGCATTTGTTCTTGTTTTGAATTAAAATATTTGCTAGGTCAATTTTTCCAAAATAAAATCTTATGACTTTATCTCATGCCTTGGAGAAGACAACAGAGGATTCTTTGTGCTGAGCTCCCGTTTGTCATAAAGCATGGCAGATGAACAACATACTGATTGTTTCAAGCTAGGTAACAGAGATTCCTGGACTCTCATGCTATTTTGGACGCTAAATTAAAAACAGAATCCAGTGAAGGCAGTTGTTGCCCGTGTTACTGGAAAATAAAACATATCTCTCAGGTTTCTTTTTGTTCCAATAACAGGACACGGCTGGGGAATCAATTTCCTTCCAAACCACTGCCCCAGCTTAGAAGCTGGTTTGTTTATCTTGCAGTGCCTAATCAATGGTCCTGGCCTTCAGTCTCAAAGTATCAATAATCCTTTCTTAGCACTTATCCTGGATGATATGAGGTATGAGCAATGCCAGATGAAAACGGCCAGTTGAGCAAGCTTCTGCTAAGACACCACATTGGGCTGTGCTGCAGATACTGGGTGAGGTAGAAGGGACTTCTCATCCTTAGCCCTCAGCGACTCTACAAGGAATTAAAACTCACATGCATATAAAGTTAATCTGCTTTTAGAGGAGAAGAAATAGGAGGACATGCAGTAAGGTACCTTCAGTGTAAGGAGGGATAGTGGGAAGTTTGCTATAGGAGGTTTGGTGGGAGCTGGACTGAGAACAGGAGAAAAGGAGATGCCTATATGTTCCCTTGGATATATAAGTTCTGTGTGTTTTCTTTCCTCCTTGTTTATCCAAGAACGTATATATCTTGCTCAATTAGAGAGCCAGATCAGCCAAACAGAAGAAAAATATGAAAATGTCCAAACTGGTGACTTAAAAGCAAGCTATGCCTCTGCAGCAAGGTAATTTATTTTTTCCATCCTAATGAATATTCCTAGTTTAAATGACACACTGTAAATCTGTGTAGACACAAAACTCAGTCTGTCACTTAGACACATTCAAAGTCCAATTTCCTAAAAGAAAATTGAAGGAATTTTCTAAATTTAGAATTCTTCTAAAGAAGAAGCACAGTTATAGTGGAGTCTGACATGGGTTTTTTTCTGAGAAGCTACTGTTTTAACTTCCTCACAGTGACAAAAGTATTACAAAATAAAAAAATAATTTGAACACTAGAAACAAAAGTGTGACCTGACAGGATGAAGCAGTCAAGATGTTTTCACACAAGACAGGGAGCCTGACTTTTCAGTCAGTTATGCAAATAAAGAGCTTACATATAAGCATGTAAGCCAAGGACTGACCACACAGGGGATGGGAAAACCATTTTGACTGTCTCAGGGCTTTTCAATACAGATGTTTTAAGTGTAGACCAAATTACTCATAGCCAGCTTAAATAAAACTAGATTTTAAGTGGCTTGTATTTCTTTGGCCTAAACAGTCAGAAACTCATTTATCAAGAATTCAAGTAAGCCAAAATTAGAACATCTGCAAGCTTCTATCATTTAAAACAGATTGATTTAAAATGACACTTGCCAGGCAAGTTCAGTTTCTTGCCATGTAAATACAACGAGCTTCTATTGGAAAAATAATGTAATGTGAAAGCTTCTACGTAAATAATTGGATAACATTGGTAATAAGCTTGTGACAGTTGAACAAGTATTTTTGAAAACCTATCTTGTCCAAGGGCAGAAACAAACAATGAAAGAGAAACATAAAGCTAACAAAATAACCCAGTGTCACAGGCTGTTTATCCTACATCTCCTTTTGCTGGATTGCACAGCCTAGTAGAGAACACTGCCTGCACACAAATATACACAGGACACTGATATTCTCATCTATCCCTGACCACCCTCACAGATCTCCACAAATCTACTGTAAGGGCTCTATCCTCATTCTCGTTAAACAGTTTCCTGATCATTAAGAATTGGAGATTCCAAAAGGAGATGTGTAATATTTCATGCAACATATCACCTTGCTTAGCAACTGAGAAGATGCAAGCCATTTAGGCACTGCTTCCTAACCTGAGCAAGTTTTTTAGTTTCAAGTATGCTATTTCAATAACCACATACTAAGCACCACAGGAACTGAGGTTCCCACTTAGCAGCACTATCCTACTGTTTCCAAACTAACTCTACCATTCTTATTTTAGGCATTTCTGGTGACTGTTCTTCAAGAAGTTTTTCATTTTAAAAGGTAAGGGAAGGAATGACAGGACTGTTCTATAAAAATGCAGCTAATTCCAGCCTCTTTAGGGTACATATCTTATTGTGGGAAGACTGATAAAGGTTTTGTTGGAACAGTACCAAAAAAATCTTCTATTTGACACAAGTGTGAGTTTTGAGGAGGAGGAGGAGGAGGAGGAGGAGGAGGAGGAGGAGGATGAGAATGTCTGCCCTCCTTCAGTTGGCACCTGACTGGAGAACTGTATTTTTTACACTAGTGACTTGATCACAGAGATCTAGGTTTTCATTATTTATCCAAGATTAGTTTAGTCATTTACCTGTGACTTTGGTGGACAAGCAGGAAACACAGATTTCTTGCCAGCAAAGAGAAATAAATGCAAGACTAATTTAACATTGAGCATCACCATGGTGATGATATGAGAAGAAAGGTCCAAAGATACTCCGCTCAAGTACAAGGAAGGCAGCAGGGTGATAATAGATATTT